CCTAGCAGCACTATTACTTGCTTAAGCTTTAAAGGCTAGTAAAGTACTCTAAGTTTTTATAGTCTGTAAATATTATAAATAGCTTATAAATACTCTATAACTCTGCTAACTAACTTTTAAGATACTCTATAATAGTAAGCAATTCCTTGTTATATATAGTGTAGTTTTGTCTCTCTAGCGTTAGTGCTATAGAGTAGTAAGTAACTAGGCGCTAGACGCCCCTAACTTTTTGCGACAAGCAACCCCTAAGAGTATATCCTAAATAGTCTGCTTCTAATAATGTTTCTCTAGCTAGGTCCTATTATATTAATACTAGTCCTAATATAAACACCTTTTTTAGCGCATTAAATATACTTTATTCCTCCTCTCCCTATTAGAATAGGGTGTTCTTCCTAGTTAGTTAGTTTAAAGGTGCTACTACTCTAGAAAACTTCGCGATAAAATTATAGTAGAAGTTAGCAAAACCTAGAAAACTCCTTACCTCTCTTATATTCCTAAGGGATTCCTATTCCTATACTACCCTAAGCTTTTTAGGGTTAGGTCTAAGTAATTTACCTGCCTTAATAATATAGCCTAGGTAGTGTACCTCCTTAATACTAAAAGCATATTTCTCTAAGTCTAGGTATAGTCCTACTTCTTTTAATAGCGTAAGTACACGCTTTACTTTTTCTATATAGTTAAACTAGTCTCCTCCTAAATAAATTAAGATATTATTAAGGTAGGCTATTATATATAATCCTAGTAACTCTATAAGCGCAGTATTAATATATTATTAGAAAGTAGATAGCGCACTACTAAGACTAAATAGATATACTAACTATTTATATAACCTAAACTAGGTGTAGAAAGTAGTTAAGGACTTATAACCTTCTACTATTCTAACTTTATAAAAGGTAGCGCAAATATCCACTTTTATAAACTAATTTACGCTAGATAGTATATATAAAGTTTCCTTAATAAGTAGTAGTAGGTATTAGTCTAAGGTTATTATACTATTAAGTATCTAGTAGTCTACACATAGACGCTAACTGCTTAATAGCTTCTTTACTAGTAATACTAGAGCTCTAGCTATAGAAGAGCTTGCTTAGATCTAGCCCTTATCTATTAATCTAGTAAGTTATATTCTTAGTTCTAGTAATTAATTACGCAATATAGGGTATAAGGGACCCTATAAGGGGTTAGGCTAGGTTCTATTTAGGAGAGTTATTAACTAAACATAGTAATCTATACTACCTTAATAAGGTAGTAAACTGCTTGCTAACTCTTTGTTAAACAGGTCCTTAAACTCCTATAGTTCTAGTAGTAACTTTATCTTTCTAGTTTTATACTTAGGTTTATAGGGAACTATATTACTAGAAATATAGAAGGTGTGTATATTAATAGGACTTCCCTTGCTAACACTTCCTAGATATTTTATTAGGCGCAAGTTATATATTGCCTATAATATATCTAGTATATTTATTATAAAAATTTATACCTATATATCTTCTTATTAGGGTTCTTAATTTAGTAACCCTGCTATAACTAAACCTAAGATAATAGAGATACAGGTAGGATATAGACGTCTCCCGCTTTCTTATACTATTATATTTCCTGCCTTCCTAATTATTAATTTACCTTATAGAATGTCTATAATAACGCCCTCTCTACAAAGCTATAGTCTGCCTAGTATTAGTTAATAGGAAAGACTAGGTACTATATAAGCTAAAAGCTAAGACTGCTAACTATCTAAATTATAGTCTAATACTACTAACTATAAAATTCTTGTACTCTTAGCAATTCCCTAGGTATATTACAAGGGTTGCGGGGGAATATTAATAAAGTTCCTACTAATCTATCTTGCTAACTTTTCCTTAACTACACTAAAACACTAGTACCCTAAATTAACTATCGCTTGCACGTTCTCTACTCTACCTAGGAGGAGGGGAATAAAGAAAGGAGGATTATTTAACCTAGCCTTAATATCTAGGGGATACTTAATAGCCTCTACTATTAATAATTCCTCTATTATAGTATCCTCCTTATACCCCTAACTTAGCCTAAGGTTAGGGGTAGCTAGTTTCCTAAATTAGTGCCGCTTGCTAATACTATAACTATCTTAACACCTACTAGTTATAGTAATAGGGTATTAGGGCATGCATACACAAAGTAACTACCCTATCTATACTAGGTGTAGACCTTTGCTAGTTTCTGTGTATTAAATAGGTCCTATAGGATCTAGTTAGGACGTAATATTAGTAGTTTAGTAAGTGCACTTAATAAGGCTACTACTTCTACTATATTTGTGTTGCTGTCCTAATCTAAGTTAGACTTCTACTAGGGTTCCTTAGACTTACTAGCCTAAAGGAAGCCTAGTTCTAGAGAGGCTATTTTAATATCTACTATAATTATCTTATATTCCTCTATAGCTATATTATAGTTTATCCTAGAGACTCCCCTATTAAGGGAAACTAAGCGCATATAACTATTAAGAGATTACTAAAGTTATAAAAGCTTCTATTTATTATCCTAGTATAAACCTCCTAACTATATAAGGAGCTATATAAAATTTATAAAGAACTTTATAAAAGGCTAATTTTAGCCCTAATATAAGTGTTCTAACGTGACTTAGGCGCGCTCCTGCCTATAATAGTTGCTATAATAGAACACTAGGTAGTTAAGAAACCTACTTATATCCTAATACTTATATACACTATCCTTAAAGTATAGTGCTATAGCACGCTAGACTATAAGTAATAACTAGGACTAAATATATATAAACCTTGCCTCCTTATCCCTAATAAAGACCTTGTCTACACGCAGTTTAAACTCTATAGTTATTTACTAGGAGGAGAAGTTTACCTTAATACTATTATATAGTAAGCTAACTAGGAAAGGTTTATAGTATAAGGCAGGAGAGGGCAGAGGTAGCATATTATTAAACCTAGCGGGCTTAGAGGAGGGTTAGGATAGAATCTAATTACGTATTTCCTTATTCTATTAACGTAGTATAGCTATTATAGCAGAGTCTTAAGCCTATTATTCTATTAATCTATAGACCTATTATATTAGCCTTTCTACTATATTAAGTTACACCTAGCTATTCTAAATATCTAGCGCGTCTATCTCTTATTACTATTATAGTATATTTAGAAGAAGATACTAAAATATTATAGACTAGCCTTAAGGGGGGAATATAATAAGCGTTAATAATAGTATTTAGTATCTTAAAGGAGAGATAAGCCCTCTACGCCTTTTTATAGGTGTCTAGTGTGTTTGCTTAGTAGTAGTGTTAGACTTAGTCTGTCTTGTGTTAGACCTAGGCTTGGGCATAAGCCTAAGTCCTTTATAATTATAGGGAAGTGGCTTTATAAAGCTACTATTATATTCCTTATTATCTAAGTTACTAGAAATAATAAAGCTACTAAGTAACTAGGTTTAGGGAGATATGTGCTAAATAAAAAGTTAGTGCAGAAAATATAGGGAGAATATTAGAAGTACGCACCTTATCCTAGTAGGCCTAGTATAGGGTCTAACTACCTTATAGTAGATCCCTACTACTAGTACTAGTAGTAGTAGATAATAATATAATAGGGGCTAGATAGGCAGGATTAATAGAAAGAGAGTAGAGAGAGGGCTAATTTGTAGGGAGAATCTGTTATATAATAAGTAAGTTTAGGAAATTTATAGTAGGGTAGGATAGCTATATTAGAACTTTTATAGGAGGGTACTAAAATAAGCGTATAGACGCTACACGCGCGTACTACTTAATATATAGGCCTATTATAAATTAGGAAGGAATATAAAGATATAATAATAAAACTAAAAAATATAGTAATAAAGCCTAATATAGATTATAGAGGACAAAGATATAACCCTAGACCCCTAGAAAAATAATTTTATAATAGGTTATAGGGGAAGGTTAGGGGTATATAAAGGGCTTAGGCTTATACCTAAGCCTTAGTCTAACATAAGACAGACTAAGTCTAATACTACTACTAAGCGAATACACTAGACACCTATAAAAAGGCGTAGAGGGCTTATCTCTCCTTTAAGATACTAAATACTATTATTAACGCTTATTGCATTCTCCCTTAAGGCCAGTCTATAACAAGTAGAGGCAATATTATAGCGTAGGCGCCTAATTAGACCCCCTAAAAAGCTACTTATATAATCTAAAATATTTAATCTACTTTAATAAATCTAATAATTATAACTCTAAAAAATCTTGTAATAATAGCTATTATAGGTGGCGTAATATCCTTATTTAGTGGGTGGTGGATTTTGGTGTTAGTGGGCGCTCGGTGGGGGTGGGCGCTCGGTGGTGGATCACGTTACTCAGCTCTTGGCAACTAGTTACGTCTTTGTCACCTTGCGGCGGGAACGATCAAACGCTCACTTTGCTCCTACAAGTAGTTTCAGCCAACCTCAAAAGCAAGCCATACCGAAAGGCTCGTGGCCAAGTGCATGGGGCGCCGGGCGCTGACTAATCCAATTGTGCAGTGTCAAGTTCGAAAAGGGCCCGCGACGACCCCATTACTTCCTACTAACGCGCATCTCGAACACATAATTACGCTGCAAAATTCGCTTTCGCTGCCCTTCTTAAGAAATAGTAAGCTCGATACCGCGTGATTTGCTCAAAAGCTAACGGTTCTAGTATATGGCTAGAATTCGTTTTTGCCGTTCTCCTCATCTCCTGCTCGAAGATGACCGTACGATTACGGACGCCATTTCGGTCTCTTTCGGCAGATAATTTTATCTCTAGAGGTTCAGCCGGACATGTTTTCGCCATCAGCCGGGATGTCGTCTTCAAGTGTCCCACTCTTTTCGATAATCCTGTACCGGCTCAAGCAGAAGAAATGAAAGAGAGCATTAATAAGCTGGAAAACGAAAAGACGATATACCAGATCCTGATGGAAAATCCGCATCCTAATATCCTTTGTGGTCTACTTTGCGTTCCGGAGGGCATTTTTCTACATCGGCAAGAAACGACTCTTGAGACTCGTATTGAGTGATCCCCAATGTCAGCCATTAGTCCAAGCACACAATGGCGATGGATCCAGCAAATTTCCAGTGGCCTAGCCTGGATTGAGGACCTTGGTTATGCCCACGGGGATCTTCGGCCGGCAAACATATTTCTTGGCACCAAGGAAGAAGTCAGACTGGGGGATTTCGATTCAACAGTGAAGAGGGGCGAACAGCTTGTGGTAGTGAGCGAGCCGTTTTGCAAGATGAACGAAGACTACGAGCCTCCCTTGGCTGGCCCAGTCACTGAGCAATTCTCCCTGGCATCTTGCATTTACACGATCCGATTTGGCCACAAACCCTTCTATAGTCTTGAAGCACCTATCAGGGTCCGACGACTCATAATGAATCAATTTCCTTCGACCAAAGCAGACGTTATCATCGGCGACTTGACACAGAAATGTTGGGACGGCGGTTACCATTCAGTTAAGGCGGTGGAACTCGAGGTTATTTCTCTACTTGAGAAGCACATAGGCGTAAAGAGACATTTAGGAAACGACAAGCTAGTTTTGGATGACATGAAAGCACAGTGTACCGCCTTTCTAGAAAAGGAGGCTAGAGCAAGCACATTACAGGTTTTGTATACCTAAACTAGACCCATCGTCCGATATCAAGCAGCTTCGTTTCCATGATTCAGATTACCCCATTCGACCACATCCTAATTAGACCCGCAGTCTGGGTACTGGACCGGCTGGTGTCAGTTTCTCTTGCTCACTTCTCCGGACGGCTACAGCTCATCAGTACTTTAACCGAGTAACCGCAGAATACTTACCTTCAAGGAATCCCTTGTATTTGGACGATAGATTTAACGGCTCCTCGACCTCTAAGTCATTCAAAATCTCGAAGATTTCAGATGGCCATACTACTGGAAGGCCTTGTTCGATATGCTCTTCCACGTAGTCAAAGGCACTGTTTGACATGGAACTAGCTGTCCATGTGCTTGGAGGGAACGCTGCCGCCCAAGTGATTACTCCGTCTGGCCTTAAGCCACAGATACGCTCGCATCTCTCCCGAGTCAATCTTTTCCGTGCTCTAGTGGCGCTCGAATCAATAAGTGAATGTCGAGGGCCCCCAAAAAACAATTTTATATTCCTCGCAAATACCACACGACGCTTCAGCTGAGCACCAGTGATAATGTCATTCCGAACGGACTGTGCCTGGGATATAAGCGTTTGACCCTCTTCACAAGACTCTGCCCACCGATTTTTCAGAGACCCGATCTCCACAAGCTATAAACACGTCTAGGATTATGCTCCCGCGACTTAACTTCATTAAGCCTAGCAGCATGCATTGCCGTTGACAGTAGAACATCCGCACTAGGGGAATGCCGTTGTTGCTTCTTCAGCCACGCTTGACAGTACTAGGGAGCGCAGGTCGAGGGAGCAGGAAGGTATGGCGTATAGGATAATGGGTGTAGGAAAAGATATATAAAGTCTAAAATCAAACCGAGTTCTTTGTCTTCCATCTTAAACCACTCCTCTATCTGCACATCCTGCAAAGTTTAGCTGCCTGTCATAATCTCAGAGTCAGAGAAGTTGAAAATTACTACAGCCACCTACCTTCGGGCAATGCAGCCACTCCGGTCGACCAAACTGCGGTCCAAATGAGCGGCTTGCAATTGGGGACACAAACCGATGATGATTCCGAAGTCGAGGCTAGCGGCGCTCCAGGCGAGAGTACAACGCCGTGTCGCAACCGTCGAGGTGTAAGGCGGGTAGGGCGATTAAGGTGAACGACTCCTGAAGGGACTGCAGCATTTTTCCGCGAGTTCAGTGACTCTTGAAACGATTACCGTAGTCTACTTAACTGTCATTAGTTAGGGGATACTTGTGATTTTCCGTTCATTCCTTACGTGATAGATGAATTCATCAGCACTCCTTTTGTATCGGCTTTCAACTGGGGTATATAGCAACTTGATCTGTCAGCTTTAGTTGTGGATTTGGCCACAGGTCGTGTGAGAATCGTGTCCGTCATGTTCGACACGATCGCGCTTGCCGAAATTAGAACACTCCACTTGGGCTGCACGCGATGACGTCGGAGCAACTGCGCGACACCTGGACCGAGCTCTAAGCGCTGCCAAGCTAAAGAGAACCAAAACAAACAAAATGCGTCTCGTCTCCCGCAACCTTCGCGTCCACCCATTATGAGCAGCATCTAGCCCAAGACAATTAGCTGCCATTTGTCCCCCGTTATTTGCTATCGCTCCGAAACGCGCCGCTGCTGTCAACGAAACCACTTAGACGTCCCACCATTATCGCTATGGCCGAACAGTCACCCGATTACAAGAGGCTGTTTCTCGAAGAACAACGCAGGCGCGAAGCGGCGGAGCAGGCGCAGAAGGAAGAGCAACGCAGGCGCGAAGCTGTGGAACAGGCGCAGGATAGGGCCGAAGAGAAAACGCGCAAGACCACTCTTCTAGAGTTCCTTGATGCCTGCCACAATCATCTCCACTCTGGTCTCACCATCCAGGATGCGACCTTGTCGACGCGGGGCGACCCTGCGAATGCGACCAACAAGCTTCGACCCGAAAATCTCGTTCTGTGGGAGGACTTCCCAGCACAGCAGGCAGCGGTCTGGGACGTGCTTATGGCATCTGACTTCGCCTCGGAGCGACACTTCACATCGCTGCACACGTTGGAAGAATCTGGGGAGGCGATCCTGCGCAAGATGATGAGTTCTGAACTAGATCTCCATCTCTTTCAGCGTTCTACCGTAGACGAGCCCGTCACATCTATTATTGAACGATTATACGCTCAACGAACACTACGAGGCACATTTAGACTTAAAGGCTCAGTACAGTTTGAGAACCATGCGAACACCCTTAGCCCGGAAACAGAGCTAGAGGAGGGTATCGGATCCATGACTGTCTCTGGGGCTCCGCGACGACGGTCACCACGCCTTCAGGCCCGGACCCAGGACAACTTGCACGACCGCCCAGTGTCGACCGCCGCACCTCGCGCCCGCACAGCACGATCGTCCCGGCCTCGAGCCGATCAGTTTTGCGTCTACAACACCAGCATCCAGAACAGAGAGACTCGCATCCCAGCCTACATTACCGAATACAAGCCTCCGCATAAGCTGACGCTCGGGTGCATCTATGAGGGTTTGGAGGATATGGAACTGGGCGAGGTGGTCCGGTATCGCGAAACAGATACCTCGCGCGACCGCTTTCGACGACTAATAGCTGCCGTCATCACACAAGCATTCTCTTATATGGTTAAGCTTGGGGTGGAGTATGGTTGCGTGTGCACCGGCGAAGCATTCATCTTCCTACGGGTTCCCGACGACCCTATGACGGTGTATTACTTCTTGTCTGTTCCCAAAGGGGACGTCGGCGGAGCGACGGGGTGGGCGCCCGATTCGGACGGACCGAATCGCCTGCATCTAACAGCGGTTGGGCAGATGCTGGCTTTCACCCTGCAGGCGTTAAAAACCCCCCGTCGCAGTCACCAGTGGCGTGTCGAAGCCGCCTCTCGGCTCAACAGCTGGGAGGTTGTGTATGAAGACCTACTACAGGCTATCCCTGAAGAGGACGCACCGTCATCAGAGTACCGTCCGCCTCGGCACGACGGGCTTCTTCGCATGTCACCCGTCCAGCTCCGGCGAAGGCATACGCCCGTCAACTCCCCAAGCTGCGCGCGGCCACAGGACCAGCACGCAGCCAGCGACCAAGACTCCGATTATAATACTCCGAGCCGACGGCGACCTCCACCCCAGCGCGTCTCTCGCGCACATGCAAGCAGCAGCAGCAGCTCCACGCCCAGCCAGAGTTCCCGTGGAGGACGGGGTGGACGGTATTGCACGCAAAACTGCCTACTGGGGTTAGTGAACGGGGGTCCGCTTGACATGTCTTGTCCTAATGTTCGAGATCATGGGCAAAATTATCATCAGATCGACCGACCGACCTTGCTCACTTGTATACGCCAGCAGCTCTCAAGCGACTTAGATACCGACTGCAAGCCTGTGAGTCTGCCCGGCGCTTGCGGCGTATTATTCCGAGTCCGGCTGAAATCGCACGGATACACAGTAGCAGCCAAGGCCACACCCATTGACTTTGTTCCTCGTCTTCAACATGAGGCTGCCGTGTACGACCTCCTCCGTCCGATCCAGGGCATCCATGTGCCAGTTCATCTGGGCAATATAGACCTCGCAACCCCCTATTACTACGAGGGGATTTGTGAGCTTGTCCACCTGATGTTTCTTAGTTTTGGAGGGAAACGGATCTCCCAATGCCTGACCATCGGGAACAGGCCACTTATTACTAAACAGGTCGACTACTCAGCCCGAGCAATCCACAATCTTGGAGTCTTGCACAAGGACCTCGAACCTCGCAACATACTATGGAACGAGGAGACTGGTGGAGTCATGGTGATCGATTTCGAGCGGGCAGAGGTCGTCAAGCCGCGCACCGTACTCAGTGTCATCTCGTCGAATCGGAAGAGGAAGAGAGCTGCAGCAAGCATGGCGAAGCAGGGGGTGGACGATGTATTTGTGCGGGAAAGACGGCGAGCCGCTATTGAATTGAGGGGGTTGACATCGTTCGCATTCTCTCACCCGGGCTTGTAATTATTCAAAGCTAGCCAGTGACGGGTAACGGGAAACGGTGGACATAATTCGCAGCTACATGTTTTGAAGTCATACATGATTGGTGTTCGAAGTGCTAACATTACACAAAACAATGTAACGACTCTGAATACAAGAGTCTGTAGCGTGGAACCGAGATGGAGGGTGTTGCGGTGTTCGCTGCGAGGTACGAGCATGTTGGGTCACATGACCGCCAAGAAAAGAGGTCCAGTTCTAGGGCGGCACCGCGGCCTAACCTCCGGAGATGCCGTGCTCTTCTCCCAACACCGCAGGAACACACAACCCTACGAAAATCTCGCCGCGCTCTACGACCGGTCCCGAAGGTTGCGGAAAGGCAACAGAACCTCGAGACGCTAGAACAGCGAAGCTCCACAAACCGATCGAATGCGCACGCTGGAGCCCTCCTAGGCCCATACCCAGCAGGTATAATGGTACTCCAGGACTGGGTAAGCTCGGCGGGAGATGGAAGAAGACAAGGACCGACCAGGAGAGCGCGCGACAAACGCGACAGAGGTTGCATTAGGATATGGGCCCGAACAGGCCCTGCTGACAGGTAAAAGGTACATTGCCAAGATTAGAATAATCGCGACACTTTTAGACTGGAGTGGGCTTGTTTTGGCCCATGACCACCTGTTTAACCGTCGCTATGACGCTGGGTACGGTACTGTACCATAACGTCACCATTCCACTATATTGCCTAACCAGTGGCTATTCTTTGTGCAGACATGCCAAAGTTCGTGGAAGGACCTCAAACTGGGGTGTCTGGACCGAGTCTGGCAGAAGCCACCACGATCTCAACCTCCGAGCAGGAGCCTGAATCGGGAGACGACGTTCAGCCAACAGCGCGCAATGCTCAGGAATCCGACACCCAGACCGTGATGGGTGATCTAGGTACCTGCGTCGATAGGCCAATCGAAGCCGACGAATCAATGGTTGATATTGATGGCATTGCCTCTGTGGATTCGAGTGAGTGCCGTATGGACAAGGAAACGACCCTCGCGACATCACACACGACATCACGCTACCGGCATGCAAGCCGCGGCAGACTCAGTCTGACGCAGGAAATTTCAGGTACCGCAACTGCTTCCTTTGGGCCAAAATGTCGCTAACAGATGAATCAGACCTGCCCATATCAATCGATGGTGACGAACTTTCTGAATCGATCATCGTTGATGATAATGGAGGCGAAGCCATCATCATCCACTCTGACGACGAGATGGACTACGGCAATTCCCGTCACAGTCCCCGATGTAGAGTGTCTCGAGAACGGGTACCGCCACGGTCACGCGAGATGGTCAATTGGGCGTCCAAGGAGTACAAGGCTAGAAGTGCAGCCAATATCACCGCAGCGTGGAAGAAGTTGCGACAGCAGTAGAGAGTGATTTATGCTCAAACTGACCGGACACTTCACCAAATCTTAGAGCAGTTCGACGATGAAATCTCTGATGTGGTGAGATATGAACTGTGGAACAAAAAGTATCGGGAGGATGATGGCCGCAGGCTCCACAGGTGCTGGGCAACGTATGGGATAGTGAAGAGGGTGCGAGGATCTAGGACGAACATAAAACTTGTGCGCAGGTTCGGAGAGACGTTGCAACAGCTGCAAGAAGAGGAAGAAAGAGCATCAAGGTATTGTGCTTACTACGGACGACGGGGACAGAGGATTGTGACTACGTGCCCACATGAGGTCACTGATGGGGAGTTTTCTACATAACCTCATGGACTAGAGATAGCTACGTACACGGGCGAAGAAATTGGCATTGCATATCGCTGTTACGTGTAGTTGACCTGTGCCGGGGATTTGGCAGTGCTGGGAACTTAGAAGAACGGAGATGCAGGAATCGGAAATCGATTTCGATCACCACTGTAATTACGTATGAAATTTATAGGAATCACCGCAATAGCCTCAAATCAAAAGCTAGAGCTTGACTCCGTAGCTGCCCACGTTCAGTTACGCATGTAATTCTGCGTCGTTGCATTGCCAACATCACTTCAACTAAGCTATAGATGGTTAGCATAAGCGTCAGCCAATCAGCACCAGTTTGCTGGCACAAACTGTCAGCCCGTCGACCGTCTGTGCCGGTGAACGGGTACTGATTGGCTGGCAACTCTTGACAATCCTGTTAAACGCTTCAAGTCCCGGTTCTTCTCTTTGTGACGCTCACCAGCGTTCCTGGTCATCGTGTGCTTGTCGGTTCCTCGCCTCATTTCTCTGTGACTGCGCTTGTCGGCTGTTGGGTTTAGCTTTGCTTGGCATTAGGAGAAGCTGACTGCGTACGGATGTAGCTGCTCGTTATGCGAGGTCAAACCATCGTCGGAGTCGGTTGTGGTGTTGGTCATGTGACGCGCGCAATCAGTCGGCCTGGGGTCAAACGCCCGCCAAGACCGAACGTCTAATCCAGCTGAGAATCAACGGTCCATCGCAAGCGCCCACTACGTCGCGCATAGGAGTGATAACGTGATCCATCAGCGAGCGCCCACCCCCACTAAGCGCCCACCAACACCAAAATCACAGTTAGGGTCTAACATAAGTAGACCTAACCCGAACCTAACCTATATCTATTTACTACCTAGTACTTAGTACAATACTTTACCTAATCTTTACTTATAAAATTCCTAGCTATTTTAGTTATAAAATTTTAAATATTAGTTTATATATAGGGTAATCCTAATTTAAAAAGCTCTTTAATATACTGTATAAGCTTATTTCCTTATATAGTATTAAATATTTAACTATTTAATAAAGTAATAGTATATATCTACTAAGTTTTCTAGTAATATTTAGATATAGTTAACTATAAGTAATTATACTTTATTACTATTTTTAAATATATATAATCTTTTTTAAAAGTTAAAGATCTAATTACTATAAGTATATTATTAATAGATGCTATAGTTATTAAGAACTTTAGTGTTAAAAATTTAGTAATTTTGGTGTTAGTGGGCGCTCGGTAGGGGTGGGCGCTCGGTGGTGGATCACGTAAATTTTTCGATCGGAAGCGAGACGTCGAAACACCGAGCTCAACCATGAGGACAATGTCAACCTGACTGCACCGCCCAGAGTCTCCGCCATCACACCAACATATTGATATTCTATACATTCTGCACAGTTGTAGATCCCCACCCCACACAACAGCACTGTTACACACACCTTTTGGACTGTCCACCCAACCCAAAGCACTCACCGCAGATATGGCGCCTGGCAAATGGGGTACGTCATGTCCGTCGTGGACCGAGCCTCACGAATATTCGAGTTGCGCATCCAGTACTAACATCGACAAATGTCAGATGACGAAGAGTCTGGCAGTGCATCCGACACTTCACCTGCAGCTGCACCCATCGCACGCCGCAGCAAATTCGACGACGAGGAAGAAGATGATGATGTGCGTCAGCCACCATGCCCCGCGCCTACTCGGCTTTTTTTTTACCCCGCCATACCACCAATACAACAGAACACACTGACCCAAGGTCTAGGTCCTAGAATCATGGGACGCTGCAGAGGATTCCGAGGTCGAGCGCGAAAAGGCAAAGAAAGCGGCCGAGGCAAAGGCAAAGGCTGAGGCAGAGGCCAAGGCCAACCACAAGTCCAAGGCACAAAGGATCGAGGAGCACAGACAGGCAGCCCTGCGCCGGCGGCAGATGGATGCGGATTACGAGTCGGAAGAAGAGGATGAAGCCGAGCGACGCGCTCGTCTGCGACAACAGGAGATTGATGGTTCGCGCGCCCAGGCAGAGGAGCTCTTCGGTGATCTGGCTATTGGCAAGAAGAAGACTGGCAAGGCCATCACCGTCACCGACGAGAACGAGCCTGGCAAGGCCATCGACTTGAGCAGCCTCTCCATCTTCAACCCCCACACCAAGGACCAGTTTACCAAGCTCCGCGAGACGCTCACACCACTCATTGCTGCTAACTCCAAGAAGGGTCCATACACTCTCTTCCTTCAGGAATTCGTCAAGCAAATCTCAAAGGACCTGCCAAGTGAGCAGATCAAGAAGATTGCAAGTGGCCTGACCACACTCAGCAATGAGAAGATGAAGGAAGAGAAAGCTGCAGAGAAGGGTGGAAAGAAGACCAAGGCGGCCAAGACGAAGACTACGCTCAACGCTGCACGCGACGTTGGCGTCAGGGCGGACACGAGTGCCTATGATGACGACTTTGGCGAGTATGTATACATCTCATCCAAAATGTTGATATCAAACTAACGAGTATGCAGTGATGACTTCATGTGAGGAGAAACAGGTCCATCTTCGCTTGCTACTCCCCATAATCCGTCGTGCCCAGCACGAGACGCGGCGCCCGGTAAAACGCACACTGCTTACCTACGGCTCACCGGACGTTGAGCCATGCTTAACATCTAAGCAGTTGGACTCATGATTGCTTTCTATTTCAAACGACACCCACTGTTTCTTGGCTGCTTCTACCGTCTTGGTTGTCCATATTGCTGGTGCTAGAGCGTCATCATTTGCATGCTTGGGAGTGTGCGCATGGGATCTGGATGGTAGATACTTGTAGACAGCTAGCATCTTGAACACTGTTACACAAACCGTTCGTTCAGTTACTTGCCCGCGTGCCGCCTCTAGCTAGAAGTACTTGAGTCTTCTTACATTACGAAATGAAGGTTGTGTATGGTCGCAGCTACTCTCTACAATAGGCTAGAGACGATGTTTCTTTATGGCTTAGAGTAGATTTTCACATGCCAACATCATTCAGGTCTAAGGATCATAATGGTTAGGTAGAAACCTCTTGGGCCTGGTACAATCCACACCTCTGCCACGTCTCCACAGAGCAAAAAAACAAATGGACCATTACGCCCACCCACCACTGATAGAGGCAAAAGAATGTTTCTCCTTGCATCCTCCGAGAGTCGAACTCGGGCCAATTGCTTGGAAGGCAATTATCCTACCGTTGGACCAAGAATGCTTTGATGAGTAATCCATGGATTAGTCGTTATAATTATTAGCATGGATAGTCAATCACGGTAGGCATCAACCAAGAAGGTTCCTACACTGATACAAAAAGGAAACTCTACATGGAAGATGCACAGTACTGTGCACAGTGATAGAAATACTTGGGTCCAGTCAGACAGGGTTAGTATGGGTGGAGTGTACTAATCTGCTTTTTGTTTCATTTCCCCCCAAAACCAACGCTTATCGAGTTCAGGTACCAAGGCCCCAGAATGAGATGCCACAGCAATAATGTTGTACAGCAGGATCAAAGTATGTCGAATCTCTTCATCGACGAGTCAAGTCTGACCATCGAGTGGTATGAGTCTGATCGGAGACTTCTGACGAGATTAGGTAGGTACTGTACGTAGATTATTGCCTTTCGTGACCGCCTTCCTCCATGTCGGAAGGGCGGAAGGGCGGGGCATTGCCACCCAACTTTTTCTTGGGATGACTGAACGTCCTAGAGTAGAGTACTCCTCATGTCTCTTCGATTTGAAGCTGCAATTCGGCCATATTAGGCATGGCCATTGCATGGTCATCCTAGTACATCTGTGTCGCCAAGATCTCAGTCCCCGTTCCAAGGTTACCAGAGCAAGAGCCATTGGCTTGATGCACGTGCAACACTACCCCTCATTGAGTCACTCCAGAGTAACTACTTGCATAGACGCGCCGCGATCTCCTCGTGCCAAAAGTTGTACACCACAAAACGACACACCAAACCCACGCAGCTGCATCCCGCGCACACAGCATCCTCCACAGCAGCTCTGTTTGCCCAATTGGATCATTCAACCCGTGCATTTGGCCTTGGACCTTGATTTGTCGTTCAAGTCTATTTCAAGGCCAAGGTACCTGTCAAGTACAAGTGTGACAGGGAGTGAAGCGTACCATCTCCAATCCCCCAGATTGCGTGCTTAAATAAGAAGAATGGATCTCGTCAACTCGTACGTGCATCCTTCTTTATTCTGGCTTTCTTCCCTTCCCCACATAGACCGCACTGTCCGCATATAACCATGGGATACACCAATGGCGCTACAAGTTCCGAAGAAAATCTGCAGCGAGAACGCGCGGGTAGTAGAAGTCTACCCTTTCTGACTGACACTTTGGGATACAGTCTTAACGATCGGTTACTCTTTGCAGTTCCCAAGAGTAGGTCAAGGCAAGCTTTCGACCATATCACACTGAGTACTCACAACCTACGCAGAGGGCCGTCTTCACCAAGTCTGCCTTGACCTCCTCCACGGTTCAGACATCCAATTCCACCGCCACTCACGCCTCGACATTGCGCTCGTCAAGAACCTCCCGCTCGCGCTCGTCTTCCTCCCCGCGGCCGACATCCCCACGTTCGTCGGCGAAGGCCGTGTAGACTTGGGCATAACGGGCCGCGATCAAGTCGCCGAACACGAGTGCGTAGTACCTCCCACCGCGACACAGGGTGTAGAAGAAGTGCTAGACCTCGACTTCGGCAAATGCAGCCTGCAAGTCCAAGTCCCAGCAAAGGGCGACCTGACCAAGCCTGAAGACCTCATTGGCAAGAACGTCGTCACGAGCTTCACAAACCTCACTGAGCAATACTTCCGGAAACTCGAGGCGGAGCAGGCTGGCAACACAAACGGTGCGGCCAACGGCGATGCAAAACTAAAGACCGTTATCAAATACGTCGGCGGCAGTGTCGAAGCAGCATGCGCCCTCGGTGTCGCAGACGGAATCGTCGATCTCGTTGAATCGGGCGAGACGATGCGCGCAGCAGGTCTAAAGGCGATTTCCACAGTCGTTTCCTCGAGCGCCATTCTCATCAAGTCAAAACATCCCTCTGATCCTAAGCTGGTTGAGCTGATTACCGCGAGGATAAAGGGTGTAATCAGTACGTTCTTTTCTGAACCCTTTCTCTTTCATCCTCCTCTCACTCTTCCTGCCATACTCACATTTACCCAGCTGCGCAAAAGTACGTCCTCTGCACATACAACATCGAACGATCCAACCTCGAGGCCGCACGCAAGGTCACGCCGGGCCGTCGCGCGCCCACAGTCAACGCGTTAGAGGAGGATGGCTGGTTGGCGGTGCAGGCCATGGTGCTCAGGAAGGATATCGCAATTGCCATGGATAAGTTGACGGAGATTGGGGCGAGTGATTTGATCGTTACCAAGATTGAAAATTCGAGAACGGGAGACTGATTTCGTTGGTGTAGTGCGGGGTGGTGAAATGAAATAAATGACTGGTAAAATATTAACCAAAGCATATTATGTATACGAAAACCCTTTGGAGATTTGAAATTTCCTGTAACTTGAGTTTATGTCTACTGTCAAGCGCGATGGGTATGGAGATGGGGGTTACTCCATCCCCTCTTTGTTTCAGGAGAAATTTGTGTTGGATATCTGCGAATCTGCGTGTAGAAGAACTTGTTTCTTTTCCTTGATTTTTGGACTCACTTCTACAGCTCTGTAGCATGAATGGATTACTATCATGTTCAACACTTCAAAAAGCAGGGGGCTTGTTTATTTTGAAATTCAACTCTTCATTCACTTCAGACTACGAAAACACCATTGCTATGCCATGCATCATACCCATTCATAACCATCCCCAATCACTATCCTCTAATATCATTACTCCGCCGTATCATATCCATCATAACCTCTCATCATTACTGACCAAACACCCTTCACGAGATGTTAACCTTCTTCGACTGCGGCGCCGCCGACTTGGGCACCACGATGCTCAAAATACCATTCTTCAAGCTAGCCTTGACAGCATCCTGATCCACACGAGCAGGGAAAGCAAAGCTGCGGTGGAACTCTCCAACCGAGCGCTCGCTAACCCAGTAGCGCGCCTGATTCTCATTGCGCTTGGCTACATCCTTCTGGCCAGACTGGGTAGCCACCTTGTTCTTGTCGGCCGATTCATCTTCCACCTTGGCCTGGAGTTTCTTCTGTTCGCCCTCGCCGCCCTCGATGAAGCCCTGGGGCCGCTGGCCCTCTTCACGCGTGTACTCGTGGCGGCCGGAGATGGTGATTGTGTTGTTGTCCGTCCATTCAATGTTGATGTCCTTTTGCTCGATGCCGGGTAGCTCGCCGTGCAGTTCGTACGCGTCCTTTGTTTCCTTGACGTCGAATTTCGGGGTGAAGGAGCGCGCGGATTGGAATTCCCGGTCTAGGTTGCGGAAGGCCTGGCGGTCGTATTCGTCGAAGAGACGGAAGATGGGGGCGAATTCCTGGGTGAAGCGTGGGAAGAGAGACATGTTTGCGGTTGGTTGTGTGGTTGAAAAAGGACGAGTTGTGGTTGTGATTGTTGGCTTGGTGATGGTAGTAGTTCTTGCTTTGAGATGGCGTGGAGCGCGGTTGAGTGTTGTGCGTAAAGCTTGCATAGACGATTTGATTACTGTTGTTCTGATGAGGATGATTTAGACACGAAGTCGATGCATTTTTATATTCAAAACATGGCATTCTCGAAATTTCCTGGTCGTTGCTCAAGCACCGTCGTGATGAGGTATCGTGATGTTCGGAGTTAGTTCGGGAGTTTTCTAGAGCTTTCCATTCTCGCCCTCACGCTGCCAGCTGGCACCAGCACCATCTCGATCGAAGAACATGACGTGAAAATGAGTAAATGGTGACATTTTCTTCATGGCAGAAGTCATGATCATCGCGTCTGCGAATATTCTCGCGACTGCAAGACCACGCTGCCAGTGTCTAGTGGTCAAATCCGGTCACGTGAGGCTGTGTTCGACCTGCAGTCGTCTGACTGACGTTGGTGTGCACAGCAGTATAGCGTGTTCACTGAGATTCAAGGGAAGGAAAAGAACCATCAGGAAAGCTCCTCCGAAGGATCCGAGTCTAGCGCGATGCCATCAAGTCGAATTGTCGCTACAGTACCATGGCGCTCTTCCAATACTCTGAGAGTTTCCTACTGGACATCATCTGCTCAACTTGGTCTCATCTTTTGCATGTCCAGCGAAACTTCACTCTTTCCTACAATACCAGCATCATCGACGGATATCCCGGATTCCTGGGTCTGACCATGATTCCAGCTGGTTTCGGCCTCTCCGAAGTAGGTACTCAATCGTGCCAAAGTCTTTCTTGCCGACATTAAGATGCTTGTGAAATTCGGCCCTGGCACTCAATCAGCTTCAGCTCAGCGATGGTCAAAGGAGCTGCTGCCATACCGTGCAAAGTCGCGAAAGTGCGATTTTGTATCCTACCACTTGTTAGCCATGTGAATCTTGATGGTGGTGAGAATACGTGCATCTGGCTTTTGCCTCACAGCCCGCAAGCATTGTCGATAAAGCGACAAGACGTCTTTCTGTAGGCCTGATAATCTCACCATGTTCTACTGTGAACCTGTAAGCCGCGAACAGAACGAGTGGTGTAGAGGAGAGAGACCGAGGCCAGACGCTACAGTGCCACCATGTCAAAATCGTCCGTGCTTCAGGAACCGAAACATGAGCTAGCGGCAATGGATGACGACCTTATCGTAACGTCAATGAGAGCATCGTACTGTGTACTCCTCACTCTTCGATCAGTAGCAGCCCTCCAGTTTGTGTAGCAATGTTACACAAGCGGGATCGAGAAGGAAGGTGGTTATTTCGGGCTTACGGACAGCTGCAGCCCCGCCTCCTGCACCCTACTAGCTGATTGCCAAAGAACCTTTCCCGCCACCTTCTGTGCAAATACATAGGCAGCTCTGACGCTCCGGACTTCACTTTACAATTGTACATCCTTATCAATCATTATGTTCAGAACTCCGTCCGTCTCCCCGTTCCTACTAAAAATGGCACCTCAAAATCTAGGTGCATTTCACAAGCGAAGATTAGGGTTCGTCGAAAGCGAAATGTTTCTTAACTTCGAGATTCATGATTACACTAGAAGTGAAGCTGAGTATACAACTACTTAATAGCAAATGAAGGACTGCCAAGAATTTGGCCACGATGCTGCTCGGTAGTGTACTCATCAGAATGCAGAGCTCTGCAAGCCATGCTATATCAGATGAAAGAGCATAGGAGCCTACGCCCCAAGAATCATATGATGATATGAAATACAGAAAAAGAAGGCAACGTGAAACTGGCCAGCAGTTGGACAATAACTTTGATCAAAACTTCCTGGCAAGGTAAATCACGGACGCTACCGCCATTCATGACACCGGAGTCCGAAAATGCTCGCTATTCCCATGGGAAACCGTAGAATTAGCCAGCTTCTCCTCGACATGCCTGCTTTCTGACATGGTGTTGATGGAAGACCACGGACCATCAAGTCCAGGCAATTGTGCGAACACATGCGTATCTCCTTCAGTCGTGTATACAGACATAGGTGGTGTTGTGTGACTAACCGAGAATGCGGTTTGCACATGATTTGAACGCTCACGGGCCTCGTCTGGATGATTCAAGTACTCGACTGCGTTGATATCTGGGGCGGATGCTCGTGTAGGAGAAGGTTCGCTTGGTTGGTCTGTTTTTGTCAGTCCCAGCTCGAAGAAGGGAACTATGTTTCTTGCTGCCAAGTTGGGGGTGACTTTGAGGACGTACCGTCCGTGCTCCTCATGTTCCGACCATTTTTATGCTGGTGATAGAACAGCTTGTACTCTGGGGCAGTGAGGTAGACAATGTCTACCAATCGAGGGCGTCCACGAGACGTAAGATGGCCCTCTTCGATCATACCGCTATCCACACCAGTCTGCTCTCGCATTGAGGCGTCCGAAATTGTCCGAGCCAGGGGATAAGTGGGCAAAGATGCCTCATCAGTAAAATTCTCGATGCTGGCAGGCCAAGAATCTGGTTCAGGGGTATCAATCAAATGGGAACCTATTGAAATGTACAAAGTGGAGTCCTGGCGTGCCTTTGGGGGCGGCGTAGATGGTGGCTGTAAGATGTGATGCTGCTCACGAGCGAGAACCTTAGCCGGATGGACATCTGACAATGTGGAGCTCGAAGGCATGGTGTCTCACGATAGAAAAGGGCATGCAGGGCGTACGCGGCGGGGGATCAGAGCTAAGATTCTGACACCAGTATGCGGCTCGTTGCAGGACACAGTTGAAGGTACAAAGAGTCTGACCAGAATTTAGCTTCGCGTGGTACAGCTGATGGGAAAGAGTGTGATCAAGTTCTCATTAGGGTATGGCTAATGGACTCCGTCGGTGACGAGTTATTTCAGTGTGCAGATGAGAGCTAATGTACCGTGATATATCAAGATGGAGACTGTACTAAAAGCACTACGAAACATGACCAGCTTTGGGCGGCATGCAGACGACGCACCTGTGGCTATGCACAGAACGACATGTTTTCGGTATCGTCAATCCTCTCCCATGGTCTTCTACGTCAAGGCATGAGCAATCTCTGTTAAAAGAAGAAATGCATGCTCGGAGCTTCCGTTCATAGCACATGGATGTTATTCCACTAATATGGTTGTTGGATTGATCTCGTTTGGGCTGACCCTGCGAGGGTACGCTTACCCAAACCGAGTAATGGTGCCTACTAGGCTTGTCATTAGGCGAGTTATTCGACTGGATGGGACCATTCAGCCAGCGAATGGAGAAAAGCAATCTATAGTGCTCGACAATTCGGGATCCCCAGTGTGCCTATTCGCGAGATAATCCAAGAAGCGGTGGAAGCCCCTACCGTAGCGGAGGTTTTCCGCTTGTACCGTAGCCAGGATGCATTTCTTTGCAACCATCATGAAATTAATGGAAAAGGTCATTCCCCATCTTCTACAGTTTATCCCTACCGCAGGATACTTCTTGTCTGCTGATGAATGGGCACGTAGACTGACAAATCTGCTTATATGTTGACCGCAGATCCAACAGGGTTTACCTAAGCACCGGGATATGCATGTCGTTCATACTTGACTATTTTAACTGATCGAGTTACCCAAGGCGCTGGAAGAATGTGCGGTAGGGCAAGCCATCCATCCTGAACACCACCGTCGTGGGTCCCGTCGTCATCTATCCGTGCACTGCAATCCTGAACGTTCTGCTGGGTTGCGATGTTCAATGGGTCCAGGATGTTCATGGGAAAATGTTGTCATCAAAACTACCCAGAGCGGTTTGGAGAATCCAAACAAAAAGTCCAGAGCATTGACATCACCAGTGACAGCGCGAGGGATCATCGTGGCGATAGACATATAGTAAACCGCAGTCGGTAGAGCAATCATAGTCTCTACATTTGCTTGCAAAGATCACATCTACTGCCAGGAGATATATGCAACATGATGCCTGTCTTGTGGGGGGCGGTGTACTGCACAAGGCTGAAAAACGTACCTTGACCGCTGCCACTGAAGACCCCACTCGACTCGGTCTGCAAGTATCTCTTTTAGGCGATGTTCCGGATTGCATAGAATATCTTCTGAGAGCTTTCCAGCTTGCTTGGAGAAATGAAAATCCTACAGCCCAAAGGATTCGGTGTGCAGGATCACGCAGGTTTTCCTTGACCGGAAACGTGTGCCCTGCAAGCGATCTGCAGCATCGGGGAGCCGAAATCATTTTAGCGCAGAAGACGAGAGGAAAAGCCATTTAAGGTTGCATCTAAAGATGTGCTGGTTGTTGAGCGGTGTGAGCCTGTCTGACAACCATTGAGCCGCAGTCAGCCTAGGTCGTTGAATCGCCAGCGTGAAGTGACCAGAGGACATTGAAGTCGCGGTTGAAGATGCGACCGGGTAGATTATACCCTCAAAACATCCCTTCTCAACCCTCAAGAGCACAGCGAAGAGTTTCTATCGGTCACAACAATGTTCGACAGTCAGGTCATGTGATCGTCGACGATGATGCTCTTGAATTCGAACATGGTCAAAAAAAGGTAAAATTGCAGTCTAGAAACCCTGCAAAGTAGCAGCCCAGAATGACTTCATGCGAAATTTCCTGCAGGATGTAGTACAAAAAGTTCGGCAGCTCCGTTCGGCGTCGTTTGCTTTTACTGGTTCCCTTACTTGTGCCTCAGCCTTGCAGGTAGGCTGAGGCAGTTGAACCCCGTTGGCCCAATAATATCTCGGTTTATTTAATCGACAATAAAGCAAGCAATCGGGATCATCGGTTTCCAAAAGAGGTCAATTTACAGCTGATTCAATCTTGTCCACTGATTGGAGCTGCGATTCGCATATGTAGCTTGGATTGCCACCAGGCGGAGCAATGCATTAGTGTAAAATAAGTGATAAGGATCTACCAAGCGCATTACTTTGCGCGGTTTGATTTAGACGAGCTGCTCGGATCGAGAGTCATTCTTCTCAATCTCGTTCCTGGTTCGGCGAAGAACTGATGGTCGGCAATATGTTGTGACGGAGTTCGGTGTCGCGGCTGGGAAATGCATTCGAACGCTTGAAACGACTTTCGGTGGATGTTACCAATCTAGAAAATTGTATAGCAGTTTATTGATGGACCGCAATGTTTTTATCATGGTACGAAATGATTAGGTCAACGTGTAAATATTTTATCAGAGCGCGCTGGTCCATAGCGACATAAGAAATCGTAAATTGTTGGCTATGATGCTATCAACGTTGGAGTTGACATTTGTGCTACCGTACCACTAAACCTAAGAATGCAATTTCTCCGACGGTACCGAACGAACTCGTCGACTGTGAAGATACTCGTAGTCTGGTATGGCATCTTGAACGTGCTTCGCTAGAAGCTCGGCATCCTCCTCCCCAAACTCGGTCTTCCATTTGGCCTTTTCAGCTTCCAAAGTAAGACCTTGAGCTGTCAAACCGGGCAGGATACCCGTAGATGAGCAAATCTTGTCCAACATGATGGCCTTCATCGGGTGTGGCTCTTCCCTTGTGGCCCACTCATACTGGACAGAGTCTGGGTCCATTCCAGTCTCCAAGCAAAGTTGGCCAACAGCAGCCTTGTCAGTCATGATATCATCAGCATCAATGACTTTTGGCTGTGTCTCTTCTCCTTGCTTCAGATACCAGTCGTACAGTTCGCGCGAAAATCGCAGCGATGCTGTGGCTCTTACTCTGCGGTCAAAACCTTTCGAGGCCCCGGCCTTGATCTGAGAACGTAGCATAGATGGGAACATTAGAATCGGGTGTCGTATTTGGAAGATTGGCTGCAAGGAGAGGAGGACGCTGTCAGGCAGACTGGAGACACTGGTATGAGCGTCCTGAGCCTCATCGGGATGATGCATGATGATCGGTGGCGGAGCACCTTTTTCTCCATAGACACTCTTGAGCAATGGGTATGGTCCCATGAAAATGACGTGTTCCTTAATGAAGACTTGCTTGCCCTGCAAGAAGCTGCGTTAGCGAATCCTATCGGAAGCGTGAGCGGGCACGCCATCCTGCGAGAATATTACGAGAGCGCCATGGAGCATGTATATCTATCACTCCGCGCCCTCTGCGCAACTTCATATTCTATCTTACAATTGCCAAATGGAGATTTGTGTACTTGCCTTGGACTCTGCATCTGCCATTTCTTCAAGCATCTTGCCGAAACATTTCTGAAATCCATCTTGGAGGGTCTTCCACTCGTCTTCGGACCAGTCGCTCCATGACTCTTTGTGGTTAAAGGATTCGAATATGGTGAAGCTTGCTTCAAAGATAAGGTAAGCCGAGTTCTGGAAACCTGGCTGATTTGCCATCATCGTCTGAAAAAGGTTCGACGCCGACCTTGGATGTGTAAGGAGGTACACTCCACGTCGCTTCGGCTTCGAGCTCGCATCATCGATTTTTCCTGGCATGTTGTGAGTGGGAGGGTGAGAGCTGCTGTTTTGTCCCGCTTTACATATACAAAGTGGTAAGGCCTACCCTCTTTTATCTTAAACGCTGGGGATCAACAACCCATGCCGTAGGATGAGCTGACAAACGCAAGACAAAAGTGTCAGCCTAACTGCGCCCCAGTGATATTTCGTTCTAGGAATGAAGGTGGTAAGGCAATCCACTTTGCCAATCCACTGTCACACCGACAGCCCGAAACATATCGTCCGAGCAGTCGTCCGGTTAAACGCTGCTACCTACCATATTAGATGACGACTCTCGTGTCATTACGTTCCTTATTTATCCAATCTCATGAAGCGTCATTGTGTTGAAAGTTAACAGGTGTACTCAGTACTAATTACCTAAGTGGTGATGCAAGGGCCCCCACAGGTTTTACTTGGTATCACTAGACACTTCAGCTCGCATTGTGACTGAAGACGAACAAGAAAGCTCCTCGATAGCAGCAACGATAACACCGAGTTCTGACGTTGTCATTAGCCAAACTTGGACAACTGCGCACATTGTGTTACACGAACTCCTGGTAGGCACCTACGCTGATCACGATACGCTACGCTCTACAAATGCTCTGACCCATGGCTGAAGATTTAAATTCAAAGACTACGGCAAGCCGCATCCTTGGGTATGCACCACTCTACAGCTTTCTTAACTACTATCTGTAGCGCACGGGAGTATTGCTTGTTCGCAACGTCGGCACATCTGCAAAGCATCGAAACAATCGAAGATCAGCAGAGCTAAATCCTCATTTTCAGGCCACTCATTGGTGCTCACTTCCCACCACGCTAGGCATTGCTCACGACTCAAAAGTCAAACCAGCTCAAACAGACGCCACCACCAAAGAAAAGAAAAGAAAAGATGGTAACATAATTCGCTGCTAAATCGTGTCAGAGCTAGGTAATTGTCACAATCAGCACGGCATGTGTAGGTGGAATATCTTACCAAAGCTTCAGGTTGTAGAAGAGGTCCCTATCCGTCTTGTCCTACTCTTACACCAACGCGCTGTGTACCGTAAGCTTGGACGCGTGTGCATACACGAGATGTTTGCTGACGTTCCAGCCTAGGACTACGCGTGCATACTAGATATAATATGTGATGATATGTCAGGTTGTTCGCCTCCAACAATGTCGGAAGACTGTACCGATCAGACGTTGCAGTGGTCCCAAGATTGCCCAGTGTTCGGTATTTACCAGTACCGGTACGCCTTACACATGACTATGCGATCTCCATTTGCAGACTGCAGAACTTGACTCGCGTAACGTGATCCACCACCGAGCGCCCACCCCCACCGAGCGCCCACCAACACCAAAATTACCAAATTTTCAACACTAAATTTCTTAACAACTATAGCACCTATTAATAACGCGCTTGTAGTAATTAAATCCTTAACTCTTAGAGAAGATTTTATATACTTAGAAATAGTAGAAAAGTATAGTTACTTATAGTTAACCTTATCTAGATACTACTAGAAAATTTAGTAGGTATATACTACTACTTTACTAAATAGTTAAATACTTAATACTATATAAGAAAGTAAGCTTATAAAGTATATTAAAGAGCTTTATAAGTAAGGATTACCCTCTATATAAACTATTATTTAAATTTTATAACTAAAATAATAAGGAATCTAGTAGGTAAAAATTAGGTATAGCGCTTTATTAACTACTATAATATTAATCTTATCTCCTATTAGGCTACTAGGCTTAATTATAACTACTTTAAAGCTAATTCTACCTTTAACTATAGCTTATACTTTAAGCTTTTATACTAAAAAATAAAGTAATATAATATTAAGAGTTAGTATATCTATAATATAGATAAGAAGGGTTTTCTTATTAGAGTACTATTAAAAACTAAATATATATTTAATAAGAGCACCTATAAGTAGAGAAAGATTAGAGCTATACTCTAGGATAGTAATAGGAAGTAGATTACTACTATAGCTTGTATATACGCTAATAGTACTACTCTTACCTTTACCCTTATTTATTAGTCCTAATCTAGAGCTCTATAGGATACCTAGTTATAAGATTTTAACCTATTATAATACTAAGCTTTCTTTATAGGATTACTAAGTAGGTAGATAAGCTATACCCTAGGGGTATTCTAGCTTAAGGAGGTATTTAATTATAAGATAAAAGCTAAAGCTTATACTTTATACTAGCTCCTTATTCTTAATAGCTATAAATCTTATATAATAATAGAGTTTATTAAGTACTATAATAAATATAAGATCTTACTTATAATATATCCCCCTTATAGCACTTATACCCTTTAGCTACTTAATATTATAGTATTTACTCCCTTTATAGCTTTATATAAAGCTTAACTATCTAGTTTTCTAGATAGCTCCTAAGGGCTTATAAGTATTACTAAGAGGGATTTCTACTAGTTATTTAATACTATATAAAGTAATACCTTTAAGGAAAAGCTAATATTAATAGCTTTTAAAGTAATAGGTATCTTACTTGTAACAAGGTAGGCGCCCTGCCTATAAAATGAATACTACGTCATCTCCCCTGTCTGTACCAATTTGGCCATGGTCCAAAAGGTACGCACGAGAATACTTAAGCTAAGTAATCCTCGCATAGTATAATATATATATCTCAACAGATAATAGTGCTAGACCCTAGTGCCAACCCATGAACCTTGTTCAAGTCTAGCCTAGGCATCTAGTAAGCGCTAGCTATTTTAGCCTAGCCTTGTTACACTACCTCCCTCCTTAAATGTCTTAGTCCCTAAGACAAGTAAGCTACGAGCTCTTTGGCTAAGGGCAATATATATCCGCTCTACCCCAATTAGGCTTAGCAAGCCCTAGCACTAACCCTAGAAATCTAGTCTAGCCTAGTCCTAAATAGGCCCTAGCACTAACCCTAGCAAATCTAGTCTAGCCTAGTCTCCTAAGCATAATTTAAGCCAGAGACAATCCGCAGATTCGAACTCTAGACCTTTAGGTTAGCTTAAGTATTATGTAACAAGGTAGGCGCCCTGCCTATAAAATGAATACTACGTCATCTCCCCTGTCTGTACCAATTTGGCCATGGTCCAAAAGGTACGCACGAGAATACTTAAGCTAAGTAATCCTCGCATAGTATAATATATATATCTCAACAGATAATAGTGCTAGACCCTAGTGCCAACCCATGAACCTTGTTCAAGTCTAGCCTAGGCATCTAGTAAGCGCTAGCTATTTTAGCCTAGCCTTGTTACACTACCTCCCTCCTTAAATGTCTTAGTCCCTAAGACAAGTAAGCTACGAGCTCTTTGGCTAAGGGCAATATATATCCGCTCTACCCCAATTAGGCTTAGCAAGCCCTAGCACTAACCCTAGCAAATCTAGTCTAGCCTAGTCTCCTAAGCATAATTTAAGCCAGAGACAATCCGCAGATTCGAACTCTAGACCTTTAGGTTAGCTTAAGTATTATGTAACAAGGTAGGCGCCCTGCCTATAAAATGAATACTACGTCATCTCCCCTGTCTGTACCAATTTGGCCATGGTCCAAAAGGTACGCACGAGAATACTTAAGCTAAGTAATCCTCGCATAGTATAATATATATATCTCAACAGATAATAGTGCTAGACCCTAGTGCCAACCCATGAACCTTGTTCAAGTCTAGCCTAGGCATCTAGTAAGCGCTAGCTATTTTAGCCTAGCCTTGTTACATTACTACTTAACCTTAATATTATCCTTTTAAGGTTTAAAGCACCTATAAATAATAGTAACTAGCCTTCTTTAAGTAATAGTATAACCTTAATATTAAGTATAAATAATTAGAGAAAGATAGAGTAGTTACTCTATAATACTATAATTAATATCTATAATAAATAGTTAAAGAAGCTTAGCTAGATAATCTATACTATATTAGTAAGAAATACTCTACTTAACTATAAAAATAAACACCTAAGGGCTACCCTAGCTAATAAGAAGAAGCGTAGGAAGCGTAGTAAACCTCTATTATTACCCCCTAATAATAATTATAGTAGTAGTGCCTAATTTATTTTACTATTAAAGGTAGAGCAAGTATTTAAGCTTTAGAAGTAAAAGAACCTTAAAGAATAAAAGCTATAATACTAAAAAAGTAAGGTAATTAAGCTTTATAAGTAATAGAAGCTTACTAAAGCTTAACTTATAAAGGAGTATTACCTAAATTAAGTAATTACTAAGAAGGAGTAGAAGGAGAAAGCTACCTAAAAAGCTACTATATATAATAAGTAGAAAACTACTAAGTAACTAGAAAAGTTACTCTAAAATAATATTAAAATATCCTAAATAGGTAAGAGGTAAATCCTTAAGCCTCCTACTATTATACTAGCTAAGGTAGTTAATAAGGAGCTAGTAGAAGAGGATATAGTAGTAGAGGCAACTTTATAGTATAGGCGCCTAATTAGACCCCCTAAAAAGCTACTTATATAATCTAAAATATTTAATCTACTCTAATAGATCTAATAATTGCAACTCTAAGAAATCTTGTAATAATAGCTATTATAGGTGGCGCAATATCCTTATTTAGTGGGTGGTGGATTTTGGTGTTGGTGGGCGCTCGGTGGGGGTGGGCGCTCGGTGGTGGATCACGTTATCTCACATCCACGTGCGCATATCAACTCAGTTCTCACAACCGTTGCCACTGCAGTCTGCCACTGGAGGAGCTGAACAGTGGCGTTCTCACCGACTTCTTGGTCGGTGGCGTCGTGAGATGAATGGCAAGATGCATACTCCATGGATCGGCCAACGTCAGCGCTGCCCGTCCTGCCCTATGCGAGTAGCTACCCCGATCCAGCGCTCTTGGCCTCAAAACTGCACAATCGCCAGCCTTTCCTGGTCCGAGTCCAGATCGCCGTAAGCGAACTCTTAGAAAACACCTCATACGAGCGTAGTTACACCCCATATCTAGCATATAAGTCCCTTGGCTGCTGATCGAGAGACACTAGAGCTGGCTGCCTCTTCCACGAGCTCCACTAAATGTGCTGGTAATGGCAAGAAGATGTCTTTTATGGTCAGCACTAAAAGGCCGTTGCATGTCGAATTACATACCTGCTAGACTACTCGAGCCTCTATCCCGTTTACCACTAGACGTGACTAAGCTAATGCTGAACAGTCACCTTCTCTATCCTCAAATCAGCAATCCTCTAGCCCATTTCCAGTATAAAACAAGGATTAACGAACCGTGCAAGACAACATACACACCAACTTTGCGGCCTCGACCCTCGACACCAACACAGTCTTCATTGGTGGCTCCAATGCAAGGCATACAGGATCCTCGAGATGGCATCCCAGTAGCGGCACCTAGGCGTTGTAGACCTGGGAAGGCTAATCTAACATCGCGTTGTGCCTTCTTTCCGAACCTCTCCAAAATTTTGACTATAAAGTCGATAGACCATGCATCTTTTCCTTTTACTCCAACCGTCTTCCTGCACAACCTAGCATTTTCCTTGCTTCGCTTCTTCGACTGCATTCACCATGCGGTTCCCTCACACCCTCCCCACCCTCCTCTTCGCCTGCACCTCTCTGGCCTCTGCCCGTATTTCCCCGTACTCTTCCTCCTCCCCTTCCAACAGCAACTTTGCTCTCCAACGCCGCCAAGCTCCAAACGCAACATGGCCGCACCAAAGTTTCCACACGGAACCTGATTTCTTGCCTCCCATTCTAGAAATCACCCGTCACGGCCCCAGCAGTCCTAACCCGCTCTTCTTCGCGGTCAACTGCGCAGCCTGCCCTCAGGAGGCCGCCACCATCTTTTCCCCTGATGGTGAACTAATCTGGCAGTCCGATCCCTACACCCAATACCCCGCTACCAATTTTGGCCCGCAGCGTCTGAATGGGAAGCCCGTGCTCGTGTACAATATGGCCGTGGACGCACCGATTGTGGCATCCGGGGCTTTGACATATAGTGTCGTTCTCATCTTGGACGATTCGTATAATCTACTGCACAACATTTCAGTGTCGGATCCCACGTTTGTCTTTTCAGAGGGAAGTAAAACGACGTCGCTGATTGATGCTCATGAGGCTTATATCACGCCGTCGAACACTCTTCTCGTTCCCGGGTACAACATCACGCCCTGGGACTTGTCGCCCGTTGGCGGTCCAAAAGATGGTTGGCTGCTTGATTCGGTGGTGTACGAGGTGACCATCCCGGACGGCGAGATACTATGGAGCTGGAAATCCACCGACCACATTGGGATTAAAGATGCAGAGGTTCCATTGGACGCTCTTTACGGATGGGGCAACACCAGTCTCAACGCATGGGACTACTTCCACGTCAACAGCATCCAAGTCTGGGGCGAGGGCGACGAAGAGGGAATCCTCATCTCCGCACGCAACACCTACGACGTCCTCTTCATCAACAAAAAGACCGGCAACATAGAATGGCGCCTCCGCGGCAAAGGCGAGGGCGGAGATATCCCCTTGACTCCAGAAGGCCACTTTAGCTACCAACACGACGCCCGTCTCTGGAACCACAACGGCGACCTCCTCCTCAGCATCTTCGACAACAGCAACACCCTACCCCCACCCTGGCGCCACTCAGAAGGCCACCTCTACACCCTGAACCCGGCAAACAAGTCCGCAACCCTAAAGACCACATACATGGACCACAACACAACCATTGCCGCCCAGTTTGGCGGCGCCATGCACATCAACTTTGAAGACGGATACGTCATCCTCGGCTACGGCAGCCAGCCCATAACCGAAGAGTACAATCTCAACGGCACCATGCTCGCGAGTTGGCGTTTCGGCGCCCCAGCACCAGACTTTGGCATCCCTGGTATTGCAAACTACCGGACGTACAAGAGCGAGTGGAAGGGCTATCCCACCTCGCTGCCCGCAGTCAAGGCGTGCAAGTCCGCAACCGGTACGGATGTGTATGTGAGTTGGAACGGGGCGACGGAAGTCCAGGCTTGGACGGTGTTTGCCGGACACGACGAGGCGGGATTGTTGGAGAGTGTTTCGGCGCCCAAGACTGGGTTTGAGACGAAGATTAGGGTGGATGGGGGTGTGGGGATGGTTAGGGTGAAGGCGGTGGGGAGGGCAGATGATGAGAGGTTTGTTGCGCAGAGTTCGGAGGCTGTTGTAGTGCAGGAGTGTTGAGGGGGTTGGGTGGGGGTGATGTGTGGTGGGGAGTGCAAAACAGAAAAGGAAATGAGAATGTAGGGATTATGGTAGGCGGATCTTCGTGTTGGATTCTTGTTGGAATTTATAGATGAGTTCTGCAAGATGATTGAAATCTTTTCTAGCTCATTGTTGAGATTGATACGTGACAAATTGTTCAAGTCGAAAGGCTATGCAGTCAGATCATCCCGAAATTGTGTGATATCCGCATCAGTCCAACATTCAACGGTCCAGTGTCCAAGGGACAAATGCTACAATCCATGCAACAATACCACATATCAGTCCATCTATTGGACATCAAACATTATACAAAAATCCAACAGTACCAGCTAGCTACCTAGCAAGTTTACATTAGCTCCTCTACACACTATATATTTCTCTGCAATCGGCCTAGTCCAACATCCTTGCAAGCCAATATTTCATCAATGTGCATTGTTACAACGCCTCGTCTACTTATCATGCTACATAGCCATCCATCATACCACATAAACGGCAGGCCAACGCCCGCCCTAACCCAGGATATTTTACCTCTGATTCGACGAACTCGCAGACGAATTCCGTACTGGCAGCGGAACAGGCCCCACACAATCCAGCGTGGGCGATGTCGCATTTGCGCCAGGAACCTGCGAAGAAAGGAAAAAAACAGATGTCAGCATGGTTTCACCTATCGTGAAAATGCGAGGTTTCACTCTCTCCGGTTCTGCGGGGGTTAAACAACTCACGTTATGAACGGGGCCATAGGGATCCCAGTTTGGATTTGTGTGTGGCGCATACTCGATGACATTGGTCATATAATTCAGCGCGCCCTCCTTGCCGTAGAACTGGCCGAGGAATTCGTACATCATATCGATGCTACTAGCCATGCCACTGCTCGTCCAGATCTTGCCGTCTGCGACCCATCTCGCCTGCGTGACCCAATTGACGTCCTTGCCGTACGGGGTGATCCACGTCCAGCCGCTCTTGTTCGTCGTCGCTTTCTTGCCGTTGAGGAGGCCGGAGCGTGCGAGATGGGTGACGCCAAAGGAGACGCCGAGAAGGTACTCTGCGCAGTCGAAGCGGGCGTTGAGAAAGTCCTCGATGATCGTGCTGTTACCGAGTGTGGCGTTGAGGACGCCGGTGCCCCCGGGGACGATGATGATGTCGAGGTCTGGTGCGTTGCTGAAGGTGTGGGTTGCGAGCATGGAGCCGCCGACGACTTGGTCGTAGCTGGCGCCGAGATGAGTGGCATAGCGGGCGTGGACGGGACCGGTTTTGTAGGAGATTGTGGAGAGGTTCATGGGGAAGAAGACGGACATTTGGGTGATCCATTCCAATGGACCCCAGACGTCGAGGCCTTCGAAACCGTCGAAGATGACCTTTTTAATGCATGTTAACTGAGAGTTCTGAGTGGCACGGTGAGTACTAAGACATGGACTATTTCATACATAGCCGACGGATATCGTCCTGTTCCTGTTGATAGCTTGCTGTTGTGTAATGTTCAGACCGGAAGCCAACGACGAGGAGAGGAGCGGCCAGAAGAGCAAGGATTTCAGAATCTTAGAGACCAACATTTTGACATTCAACTCTCTGTAGTCTTGTACAAACGCTGCAAGGTGATCTGGCCAGCTCTGCAAAGCTACCTGCGGGACCCAGTTCATATCTAAGAGCCAATGCAATTTTTGTACCACAGTGAATTTTCCCTAATAGAGAGATGCAAGAGCAAGTTGATGGTTCAGACTGCCTGTTCTGACGGCCGATCGAATCCTTTTGCTCATGCGAGGTGATTTGAGAAGGTTGTGGCTGTGCCACTGCAGGACGTAAGCCCATGTTAGCATGCTGATTCGTGATCCCCGGCGTGTGGATAGGTAGCCAAGGGTCATAGCTCTGTGGGACCCTGTGCTTTCATCTCTCGGGAGCAATGCATACCATGTAAAAGTTGGCTGGCCCAAGATGTTGACCTGCGACTTTGGCTACGAGGCCAAAAAGTTGAGCAGAAAAGCGTACTTTATTCCCTGCACGCGGGACGGGACGAGGATGAGCGGTGCGGCGTTTCGCTAAAGCACTTGCGTGGGGTGCTGAAACCTGAGGCTGCTGGCGGACGACAGGAAGCGCAGCGATGGAGAAGGACGATCCTGCCCAGCAACAAACATGATTATGTCCGCCAAGGCTCGTACCGAACCTAGGTAGCATGAGTCGCTGCTTGCTCGAGTACATAGCTGCTACTAAGGGTATTAGTATGAATTGTTAGCGAGTTGATATTTCCATGCTCATGCTCTAGTCTGCCGCGAACCACGTGCTTGTGAAGAAGGGATGCAATGATCCCAGCATGTATTACGATCTTTTGCTCTATCCAAGTCCTTTAAACGCCCGATCTTGGCCGCATACCGCGGCAAAAAGAATCATTACTACAAGACAGCAAAAGCAATAAACTTTTAGTTGGTGCCGTTCTGGTTGCTGCGCAACGCCCTGCGCTTCGCTACAGCCTGAGCGAGCTCCTCGAGAACATCGAGCGTCATGTCCCAGTCGATACACGCATCCGTGATACTGACACCGTATTTCAGGCCAGCCTTGCCCTCTGCGGGCACCTTTTGTGTGCCGGCATTGATGTTGCTCTCAATCATCACGCCCATGATGGCTGTTTCGCCAGCCGCGATTTGTTCGGCCAGGGCATGTGCAACCTTGGGCTGGTTCAGATGGTTCTTTTCCGAGTTACCATGGCTGCAGTCGACCATTAAGCGCGAGTTGAGGCCCTTGGATTCAAGCTTCTCGCGCGCCTCCTTGATGCTCTTGGCATCGAAGTTTGTGCCCCTTTTTCCACCGCGGAGGATGACGAAGCAGTCGTCGTTGCCAATGGTGCCGACGATGGCGACAACACCAGGCTTGGTGACGGAGAGGAAGTGATGCGGGTGCTTGACCGAGCCAATGGCATCGACTGCCACGTCCAGGCTGCCATCTGTGCCGTTCTTGAAGCCGACAGGAAAGGAGAGACCAGAGGCAAGTTCACGGTGCAGCTGCGACTCGGTCGTCCTAGCACCAATGGCACCCACGCTCAGCATGTCAGCCAGGAACTGGGGAGAGATGGTATCGAGCATCTCGCTGGCCAGCGGCATGCCCTTTTCCGTCAAGTCGACAAAGAGCTGTCTCGAGATGCGCAGGCCCTTGTTGATCTTGAAGCTGTTGTCGATGTCGGGGTCGTTGATCAGACCCTTCCAGCCGACTGTGGTGCGGGGCTTCTCCAGGTAGGAGCGCATGACGATGAGGAGATCATCCTGGTACTTCTCCTTGACCTTCATCAGCCGGTCGCAGTATTCGAGCGCGGCTGCGGGGTCATGGATGGAGCAGGGGCCGATGACGACGAGCAAGCGACCGTTGGCGTCCTTGGCCTGCACCACCTCGACTGTCTCATTGCGGCCCTTGAGCACCGTCTCTCTCGACTTTGGTGTCTGGGGGATCTCGCTCTGCAGCAGATCGGGCGGGGTGAGTGGGTTGTAGCCACGGATGCGCCAATCTTCCGAGTTTTGGGGGTCGCCGACCGCTGGGTTCGCAATGTGGAACTGGCTGTTGTTAGGAGGATGGGAACGACAGGTTGGTTGCAGCTTTCAGGCTTTGGGGCTGGCGATGGGTGGTGGTGTGGAGTCATGTACTCACAGACATGGCGGCTGACTCTGAATGTCAGTGAGGAGGAAGGTACGTTTGAGCTGTCCCAGGGAGAGATGAATGCTATAGGAGAAGAGCTTTTTGCTGGTGCAGAGAAGAAAGAGAAACAGTCACAGCCACGGTCGACAATAGAGATGCCGGGCTGCGTCTTTATTTGCAAGACGCGCCGAATGCTGGATGAGTCGAATGTTTTTGGCTTTTGGCAGCGGAGTCGGCGATGCTGTGATTGGCTGGTGCGGAGTTTTGCAGCAGCCTTCGCTTGCTGTGTGGGGGGTTTCTATTCACTCCAAGTCGGCCGTCTAGGCGTCTGGACTGCTCACCACACTCTCCACCATGGCATTTCTCCCTTTCTCCCTTTCTCTCTTTCTCCCCTTCTCCCCTGCTCCCCTTCTCCCTTTGCACTCTTGTACTTCTTCCAAATCCTCGTACACCACACATGCACTCCCATCCTTGGACTCATCCTGCACCGATCCGTGCCGGCATCCTCGGCTTGGTTCGGGTAGACTTGACATGCCCATGGCGAAACCCTCCTAGGCCACCAAGTCTCCCCTTCAAACTACGATGAGCTCTGCACCGTCGCCGCTGCAATCAAGGATGAATGCGACAAACGCAGACTAGGCATCATGATGCTGCAGCCTTTTGCAAACTTCGAGGGCTGGCCCGAGGCTTCCAATGAACGCAAAGATGCGCTTGAACGAGCAGCAGGTTGGATTCGTATAATGCAAGCCTGTGGGACGGATATGCTGCAGGTTGGAAGTACAGACTCCCCGTTGGAAAAACTGGATAAAAACAAGGTGGTAGAGGATTTGAGAGGATTGTGTGACATGCTCAAAGAGCATGGATTCAGGTTGGCTTACGAGAACTGGTGCTGTATGTGATACCTCCATGTACTCATCCACAGACGTTCTTAAGATCTAAACGAAAAAACAAATCAGGGTCAACTCACGCGCCCAACTGGCGCGACGTCTGGACCATCGTACAAGCCGTCGACCGCCCCAACATCGGCCTCTGCCTCGACACCTTCCAGACCGCCGGCGGCGAATGGGCAGACCCGCGCACTGCGTCTGGTCTCATCGAAGCCGTCTCCAAATCCGAACTGGATTCCCGCTTCCAAAAATCCCTCGACGAGCTCAGCGCCACCATTCCAAAAGACAAAGTCTACCTCCTTCAAATCAGCGACGCCTATAAAGTGCCCCAACCTCTCAAAGACGAACGTGACGAGTCGGGCCTCTTGCCGCGAGCCCGCTGGAGCCATGATTTCAGACCACTGCCGTATAATGGCGGATATCTGCCTGTCGTGGATGTAGCGACTGCCGTGTTGAAGACGGGGTTTAGAAGCTGGTTTAGCTACGAGGTCTTTGATGGCGGATCGGATGGGAAGCAGAAGCATGTGGATATATTGGCATATGCGGTCGCGGCCAGAAATGTGCATGCGAGATTGTTGAGGGAGTGTGCGGGGTTAACGCTGGATGAGAGGGCTGCTAATAGGTGAAAGTCTTTGAGATTGCGACTTGTAAGCGATCATCACACTGTATCGAGAGAGAGTTTTTGCATCGTAGTGGTTTACGAGGAGCTTTATGTGAGGGATTGCAAGTTCGGTTTGACGTAGTCAAGTATACATGTGAGGACACGACGAGATTACAAGGACCAAAAACCCAATGGAAAAAAAGACAAAGAATCAAAAAATAAACACAGAAACAAAACACACAACCACCAATTCATAGCAACCTCACACCATCACCCCAACCCCCACCCCAACCAAAACCTCACCAAAAACTACCAACCCCACCGTCCTCGTCGCAAAACCCCTCATCCCGCTCGTCCGCGTCAATCCAGCGCGCGTCTCAGCACTAAAGCGCAGATTCACATCAGCAAGACGGCGCATGCAGATTAGCAGTTTTGACCGGGGTAGGGGCACCGAGTTGTACTTGTCGAATAGTCTTTGTTGTTGTCGTCGTTGTTATCGTTGCTGTCATTGTTGTCGTTGTTGTCGTTGTTGTCCGTAGCAGCAGGAGGCGACAGCGCGGGGATACTTGTCATGGTTCTTGTGAGGAGTGTTGTTTTGGCGGGACCGCAGTAGATGTTTGGGTAGGGGTAGGGACAGTGTGGGTTTGGGGTTAGGAGGGTGGTGATGATGATGTGGGTTGGGGAGTCCGTGGGAGAGTTTGTGGGAGAGGATTTAGAGGAGGGTGGTGATGGTGGAGATTTTGGCCGAGTGGTTGTGGGGTTCGGTGGTTTGAAGCTACTGGTAGGAGGTTTTGTGGAGGGTGATGGGGTGGGAGAGAGGCGCTGTCGGGTTTTAGTAATGAGGATGGTTTTTTTACTTGTTCGTGGTGTGGCGTCTTCTTCTTCATTCTTGTCTTCGCCTGCGTCGGGGTAGTTTGTGACGCGGGCTGGACTTACGACTACGCTGTCTGCATTGTCTGAATCCTGCTTGCCGGGTAGTCCGTCTAGGGTGTTGGGCAAAATAGCGGCGAGATCGCCATGTTCCACTTCCACGTTGTTAGCACCGTGTTTGTGGTATGACCAGGTCCCGTGTTCGATTGTAGTGTTGATGACCGTGGGCCCAGCACGCGGTAGCACGTGGGCAATATCCTGATGAATGTCGCGCTCGGGTTTGATTCCAACACTTTGGCCCAGGCGGCCTGTATAATTCATTGCCTTTGCTGCAACTGGCGGATGTGTAGGTACAACTACAATCGCTGGAGTCGATGGATGAATAGGTACAATAACAACCGCTGGAGTCGATGGATGAGTAGGAACAATCACAACCGCCGGAGTCGATGGATGAGTAGGCACCGCCACAAACCCCAGACTGGAAGGATGCACAGGCACCACCACAATCGCCGTCGTCTCCACAGACACAGTCGCAACCCTCGACGTCGATGCATAAATTGCAGATCCAGCCCCTGTAGACGGCGGAATAGAAGTACGTCCTAGGCTTGGTTTCCCCGTCCCTACGATCCGGCATTTGGAGCAACTCGTCCGCGAAGGAGCATAACTGAATTTCGGAAGGTGAGAAAGAGCAGGCGTAGCACTGACGGAAGCTGCAGGCCTGGATTGAGGCTGGCTAGAAGGAGCGGGCCAGTTGAAGACGCCAGTGCCATGGATGGAAGAGGAATCGAGTCTAACTGAACTTTGAGCTGGTATTGTACTGTGATATGTATCAGTGCTACTACTTGTGGTAGTGTTCAGAGTTGTGGTTACAACAACTTCTGAGGTTTGGGTGAAATTCCATCCACCGGGTGGTGCTGTGCTAGTGTTCGGTTGAACATAGACGGTACTATATTCAGTAACATGAACGTATTCAACGCGGTTACTAAGCCCTCCACCGGATATTTCTGTGTCGTTACGCGAGAGGAGGGCACCCTGAATGAGGGTTGTGGAGAAAGCTAAAATGGTGAGATTGTATAACAACTTCATATCTGTGAGTGAAGCTCAATGGGAGCTGCGTTAAATTGTGGTATGTATAGTAGGATCGAATACAAGTTATGAAGTCTGAATACGTGTAAACTAGGTACGAGTATTGATTAATATCAACTTTGATGGGAAGAACATTCATGCATTCTGGCAATAATAGTATCACAACAGAGTCGAACGCCTTGCCGGTCATGATTATTTGCATTCAAATACATTGTGTAAGGATTCGAAGGACCCTAGCGCTGCGCAGTGCAGAGGACAACGAATTTGCGCTGCTGGGAAAACAAAGCAGATTGCGAATGAAAGAGATGAAACAGTGGCAATGCGGACGGAGTGGATAAAGAATTCAAAAATATCACTACAACATAAAGGAAATATGAAACTCCAGTCGTGCGTGAGTCAGCAGTAATCCCATTGTAAAAGTACGTACGAGTGAACGCCATCATGCCTGTATCTTCTCGGTACGGCCTGCTATATCTCAGGGTTTGTCCTGATAAGCTCATTAATAATGATAGCGCTCATACTACTCTTGAGTAGATTTTTGCGTTCCTGATCCTCAACTGAAGATACCAGCTGGTTTGTGATTGTAAGCTGCCCCGACTCAGTCTTCTCGTCGAGAAGCGATGGCTTGATGAATATGCACAATACCTGTTTCAGGCCGATTTGGAAAGACTCCTTATGAATGGTAGCGGTTGGATCGCTCGCTCTTGGTCGTGTAATATATAAGAGAGTGTGCTGAACGCGTATAGACTTCTCCGCTGCTAGGGGGCTCACCGTGAAAGTGAAAGCATACACGGTTGTACTACCGGAATGCATCTGAATATTTGTACTAAGAAAATGATGAACTGAGAAAGGCATATATAGAATGATAAGAGTGTAATAGACGCATTGAGAATAGGGAGATCGTGCGTGGATAGTCTACTGTCTTGGTACTATGCAAAAACTTCTCTCTGGTAATGCAAGTTTTACTCGGTGGGCCTTGAGTACATCTATTTGTGGCCAGGTTCGGCGGAAGGTGAGGCACGACTCCAACTCTCGTGCATCTAGGAAGTCGCAACTTTGCAAGCTCAGTGGGCCTTTATATATAATAGACCAGACTTCATGTATCGTAACCCACATGCGTTAATACTCAATTACACTCACAATCAGGCGTTGTCTGCACAGATGTATGTGACTATGGGCAGTTTTAGTACAAGCGTGGAAGCCGAAGGGGAGTTAAATACCGTTGTTGCCACGAACAAAAGCATCCCCCCAGTTGCGTGTCACTCTTCCTTCTGAGACTTCTCTGCATCGCTCAAGTGCAATGTTCATATAGCCGTCGACTGATTGAAGTTCTCCTATCCTTGAGGTCAGACATGAGAATGTGACTTGGGCACGTGCAAGCACACCTTTGTAAATGATGCCCGAGTTGAGCTTCACCGTGACAGGAGCGCCAATGATCTCACTAAGAAAGCCACTGGGATCTCTCGAATCGCCAGCAGCTTCAGCGCCTGGGCTTTCGCCGTTTGTAGACATTTTAGATGGAGCTTTGATATGGCAATGCAGGACTACGAATTGTTAGCAACGACCAGAGTAGAGTAGAGCTACAAGAGCTTACCTGGGTATCGATGGAATCGAGCGGTGGTTGTGGTGTCGAGATTCGTGCTATGTGATGCTGAGTGGAGAGCACTGTGCCACTAAATGCCCAGCCTGGTGGTGGGTGAAGTGAAGTCGAAGGGTGCACGGACCACAATGTAACTCGGATGGCGCAAAACGTGACCGCGCGTTGGTGGTGCCCCACATGACTTTACGCGGGCGCGGGCACAACCACTTGACCTCTGACCTCGCCCCGGACTGCCGCGATTTGACGAATCACGTCTGCAATGGCAGAACCTCCTCCCACCACTACCGCACCGAAGAAACGGTCCTTGTTCAAGCGCGCAGCTTGGCAGGATGCCCCGAAGAAAGAGGATGAGGACATGTTTAGCCATTCGAACGAGTTCAAGGACATTGTCGCAGAACAAGACAGGCTGCGGGAAGAGGACAAGAGGAGGGAAGAAACAGAGGCCAAGCAAAGGAAAACATCAGTGCCTCGCGAAAGCAAAAGTAAACGACGGAGGATATGTACCGAAGACGAGAAGCCTGTAATACCCGAAAGCGAGTCTGGCAGTCCTGTGAGAGCGACGAGACGTAGTAGAACCCCCCTACCTCCCGCTTCAGACTCGCTCGCTGCAAGATACGACTCCCTCGCCAAATCGACATCGGAAGGCTCAACGGGTCGCAGAGAACCTCTTATCATCAGTCTGAGTGATGACGACGACGACGACGACGATAAAGGCGCTGTGAACGGATACGTCGCATTACGGCAAGCAGAAACGCAAAATACCTTGGGTGTGCGTCCCTCGGGACGGCCTGCTGTGGACAACGACGAGGAAGTTGAGGAAGTCCTGGACCCCGCCCTAGCAGCGCTCCAAGCCAGAGCTCGTCAGAGGGCCCTAGAACGGACAAATTCCGCTGGCACACCAGCGCCAGAAGGCGAGCCCACCAGGATCCCGGTTTCCCAATTGTTCATTGACCCCGAGATACCCGATGCGGATCCGCTCATGGTCAAAGTACGGATAAACAGCACGATTGAGAAACCACGAAAAGCCTGGTGTGAGAGACAAGGATACAGTCCTGACGTGACCCGAGGAATCTTCTTCACGTGGAAAGGGACACGGTTATTTGACAGCACGACAATCAAGCGACTGGGCATCCAGGTCGATGAGCGCGGGAATGTTTCTGTAGATGGCGATACAACCCTGTATGATGAAGACAATATACCAAAAATCCACGTCAAAGCATGGACCGAGGAAGTATTCATGCAAAGAAAGAGGGAAGAAGCGGCAGAAGCGGCGGCAAAGAAGACGGCAGCGGAAGCGCCCCTAGAGGCTGAGCAGCGGACCCTAACGCCAGAACCAGAGCCAGTGACCGCTAGAGTCCGCCTCGTGTTGAAGATCAGTAGTAAAGACGACTTCCGTTTGACTGTGAAGCCGGTACGTAGAATCTCCTTCTCCTTGCGCTCTCCTCACAGGGCGCTTTGCATACACGGCGCCATTTCCCCCAAAGTCTCCAGTAGTACTATCGTCATGTCTCATCTACTAACAACTTCTAATCCAGGACACCACCTTTGAACACATCACAAGCGCTTACAAGTCGAAACTCAAAATCCAGAAAGATCAGCCAGTCACTCTTTATTTTGATGGAGAACGACTTTCGCCTTTAGATACAGTCGCCGATGCCGGCATTGAGGATCTGGACTCAATTGAAGTGCGTCTCAAGTGAATTGTTTCTGACGCTATCCTTCAGCAAGCCTGGGCGCTATATGCGCTAGCATTTGGGTTACGATCAGGATACCATGGACAACATTGTTTTGCAAGCACGGCACTGGGGCAACTCTGGTGCTGGCGTTGTACCTATCTGTAAAACCTATGCATATCAGGGAAGACAGCTTATCACGATGCAACCGCACCTGCACATGTCGTCTCCATGAATTTCCTAGATATTAGGATTCTTCCTCCGATTCGCCCCTCCATCCAACACCAACTCCTGCCCACTCAAAAACCCCGCGCCCATGACATACTCGACCGCCTCGGCTAGATCCTCACCTCTGCCCACCCTACCCGCTGGATGCTGTCTATGCCACAGGTCTTCCAAATCATCCTTCCACGCCGCCATCCTCACGGCCTCGGCCTCGGCCTCATGCGGTACGCGCTCCTTCCACGCGCCATTCTGCTGCGCCTTGGACGCTTCATCGCGTGCCCGACACTCGTGCTGCACGCTGACCCAGCCGGGCGAAATCGCCATGACGCGGATCCCCCAGCGCTGACACGACACGGCCATGGCCTGGGTAAGCGCCAATAGGCCGCCCTTGGACGCAGCGTAGCCCTCGCAATCCGGGTCGGATTGGTGTGCGCGAAAGGACGAGATGTGGATGATTGCTCCGCCCTCGTTCAATCTGTCCTCGCCGTGGAGATTCAGTGGTAACTGGTTGAACTCGTCTGTACGCTTCAAATCGACGCTTCGATCAATTCCAGGGGCGTCGTGTGGCTGGCTGTTCCTACTCTTCATGTACGGAATCACGGCTTGCGAGAGATAAAATGGCGCGGAGAGATTCGTCTCAATGTACGTCTGCCACTGCTCGCCCGTGGCCTCATCCTCCATGGTCCCGTTGCCGGCGGTGAAGAAGCCGCGCGCGACGCCTGCATTGTTGATCAAGACGTCGATGCGACCGTTGCCGAAAAACTCGACCGCCTTTTGGACTGCGCCTTTGATCTCCGCGGGCGAACGTAGGTTGGCGATGTGGGAGCCTACGCGGGGGGCGTAGGCGGCTAGATGTGTGGATACGCAGTAGGAGAGTTCTTGGGCATCGAAGTCGATGATGAAGATTTTGTGCGAGACGGGGAGGGAGAGAAGGTGGCGGGCTGTGGCGCGGCCGATGCCTCGGGCCGCGCCGGTTATGATGATATTCTTGGATTTGGTAGAGGGCATGATTTGCGAGGTGGTGTTGTTTGGTTGTTGTCTGTCCAAGCTGGACGGATTTTTCTACCGGTACTCTCGTGGATGAATGGGAATGAAAGTCTCGATCGTTTGTGGCCGTTTTGCATGTGTGAGTATGCACTTATACCCCTCCCTTGCATTACACTCGACGGTCTTGCAGTGCGCTCCAGTGGAGTAATATACGATTGATAAAGTTTGCGCTTCAAAAAAATACCTACCTCAATCAATTCAAAAGACACCCCAACATTGTGCGACACCCGGCACGGGATATTCCACTTCAGCCTGATTCCGCCCCCATCCGGGCTTTATTCCATCCCTCATCAACCGCTGACCCGCTCCCCCTTTGCATTTTTCTCACACATATGCAAAGTAGAAGACTTGCGCCTTGGGGCCGCACAATCCGAGGCAAGCACACACAGCAGTCGTATAGTTGGAAGCAGGGCCGCAGATCCGTAGCTATAGTTCAAACCCTGCAGGAACTACCGGTAGCTAGCGCAACACAGCTACGGGCCATTACTTACTCGTGGAACTGTGGGGGTGATGGTATGCGGATTTGATGGAGCGAAGAGTGGAATCGGTGTTATGTGTACTCGTGGTGTTCCCTCGTGTAGACGGCCCGGGCGAGCAGAAGGGGAAGGAGAAGTTGGGCAGCGCAGTTCGGAAACCCGGGAAGGCGTTGCGAAGTGCGGGTTGGGAATTAGTCCACCAAGCGAATCATGGTCGATGGATTTCACGTGAGGGCGCTTGCTTGTGGTATTGTAACCTGTTGTTCCGTTTAGATTTGGAAGAAGTGGTAACCTGTAACCGTAGGGGATGTGCTCGAACTCCTATTCATCTAGATTTCATGCAAGTATTCGTACGTTGCGTCCATTACTTACACTTGATTCTTAAGAATCCTGACCGATTGCTTATTCAAAAGTGTGGAGAGTATTCATAGAATGCTAATGATAACAGCAATAACACATGGTTAATGCTCACAGAAGTTGAAGCCATACCCTGGCTGCTGGGCCTCCAACGTCATTTCATCCAATCGGCCTCGCTCCACCATGAGCTGTTGCCGCAATTCCTTCGCCTCCTCCAATCCGATGGGAAAGTCGTCCACTCTCTCGGCAACCATCTCAATCAACTCAGTTGGCAAATTGCTGACCAGATTATTGGCTTGTGCTTCGACTTCTCTGAGCCACCAATCGCGGCGCTGTGGTGGCACGTTTGCAGTGGAGATGATGGGAATAGTAGGCGCGACGAGGAACAAAGCAACGATTTTGCGATGACCTGGTTTGGAGGGATCCACGAGTTTGAAATCTCCTACACGGTGCTGGAAGCCATTGGGAAAAGCGATCAAGCGATCTTCCTTTGTAAGCACGCTGCCAATATCCTGAAACTGGTCCTGCTCGTTTTCAATACCGAAAATCTTCTCGATGCCACCAAAGTCGCCCTGCTCGTAGCCCAAGTGTTCGGAGAAGGTTTCTCCGTCTACCCTTGTGCGGAAAAATAGTTGCGAGTCCGTGATGTTGTCATTGTCATAGTAGTAAAGAGCAGTGGCCACAATGTGTTCGTTCAACTGCCCTTCGATATGCCACGATCCACCCGCGTACTCGGGCTGCTCGGGTGTGAGGTGAATATTGGCAAGTTTGACAATGACCTGAAGCTTCTTGTCGCGCCTGCCAAAGAGTTTGAATGGATCCGTAACGTCCTCTGGGGTGATATAAAGATCTTTGAAGTCGGCTGCTTCTGGCTTGTCGTATATGCGCAAAGCTGCGACTTGGTCGTAATACTCATCTTCGTCGAATTCGTCATCGTCAAGTTGATCATCTGTGGGATATTCCTCAACTCCTTCTGGGAGAGTATACTTAACGCCGGTCACATGCAGACGTTGTCGGCTTTGAAGATCGCCAGCTGCATTGCATCGATATACAACATCCCAGAAGGGTACTGCTTTCGTAATCAGCTTTTCAATGGTTGTATAAAGACCCTTGTGATCCACCGGATGCAGGTTGTTGATATACGAGTCGATTCGAGCATTCTTTCCATCTGGAAAGGATACATCACAAGGCAGCCATTGAAAACGGGATGACCACAGGTGCGAATCTCCCGTATTTTTTAGGTTTGGCTGCGGATCGGGTAGAATCGTGCCTTTGCCAATGCTCTGAAGGCACGTCACCAAGTTGATGGTTGAGTCTGGCAATATGCGCGATCGTTGATAGATCAACGGGAACAGGGACGGGTGCACGAGATCCAAAACTTGGCCGTCAGATCCAGGATGCCAGTCCTTCTGGTGATCAGGTACGTCTTCCAAGTCTCTTACTGCATTTCGTAGCTCTTCTTTAATATCTGCCGATATAGCCGTGTCGCTCTTCAGTACGCACGAGGTTGAGTCAAGGATGGGAATCATTCCACTCTTCTCGGAAAAGGCTGCCTTGGCACGTAATTCAGCAATACACTACTATAATCAGCAATGTCCTCTGGCCACTGTATTTCCACTGCTCACATGATTGAAGTTCCCCGGGCTCATGTCTCCGTGGGCAATGGCGGCCTTGTTCCAGTCAAGAGCCTCGGCTTCCTGGCTCCACTTGGCTACAATTTCATCATCGTACACTTTCTTCTCCCAACCAGGCTTATCGGTGATCGAGTTCATGAACAATAGCATGCATCGCTCCCGAACGGTAAGGACTGGATGATCCCTGATATAAGTTATTAATTTTGTTTGCTTTTAGGATCCAAGACATGATTCTCACCAGTCCTTCACTGCCGAGAGAGCTGCCGCCCTTGGGTTGTCTTCTGGATGATCCCAGACGTCGAGCGGCCGTCCGAAACCAGGAAGCTAGGGCTAGATTAGATGATCGGGTTGAAGAGTGCGAAAGGAACTCGCGTACCTCGATCTGACCCTCTCCTGTCGCCATTGTATTCATATTGTCGAAACCAAAGTCAAGGCGGACTGCTCGCTACATATGTAATTTCTATTTCGCGTCCCATTTCGGCCACCAAGCAAACGCTAGAATGGTTGCCTGCAGGCACGAAGCCTATTCTAGGCTGGAGAGGAGTGTTGCGGAGGTAGGTGAACCAGTGGCTGCGTTAGCGCGCTGCTTCTGCCTGGCCCGCCATCGCGTAGGGTGTTCGCGATGATCCAACGCCTGTTGTAGCAATTGCAAGCGAATTCTCAAGTCAACAGTGGTACGGTTCATAACATTTGTTTCGGATGTCTGCTACAACGAAACTAGACTAGCTATTTCTTGTTCAATCATGGCTACCGTATTTTGCTGGAGTCATAGATGTACCGGTTGCCAGACGCTCCGATAACAGGGAAGTGTTGTTGTACATACCTACATACACGCATGACGAAGCTCTTCCTACACCATCGCGCGAATACGTTTTCTTTGATTAGCCAAATGCTTGGCTACGTCCTGCAGCTCATGTTGCAGACTTTTCCCCTTGACATCCATCTCGTGGAACACATGCTCGTAGTCACCAGCATGGCGCTGAAGCAAGGAGCGCAAGACGTGCTCCCCATCCCTCTCGAATATCTCCGCGATGTCAGTCACAGCAGTCTCATTGTCCACAACGTGTCGCAATACCCGTTTCGAAGTGCGAATCAACAGGTCATGTAGCGCTCGCTGATGAGGACTGAGACTTGCTTCCCATTCCAGTTCTTCCGCCTCTGAATTTAGACAAGGGGGGTCAGTTGGTGGCACGTCAGAGTCCGCTGAAGTCGAGCTGTGGCTACTCGGTGAACCTCCAATAGGCGGTGAAGAGGGGAAGTGGATAGAGGAAGCGGCGAATCCGGTAATGCTTTCATCGTATCCGTCATGATTGATCAGTGTCTGCTCGCCATCAATGTCGAGGTCTGCGCCGTGTTCAGCAGATGGTTGCTTCGTGACTTGGGTGTCTTGAACTAGCTGCTGAGGAGCAACCACAACACACTCGTTCGTGGTATTTTGGGGATCGAGCGAGGAATGTTTCGCGGGAACATCTGCAGTTCCGCCACGTAATCGACGTGCACCGGAGTCTGTTATTGGTGTCCTACTAGTATGTCGTAGCAAGTTCTCAGCTGGTATACGACCGACTTCATGTAAAGTATGTGTTCTACTCTGCTCGGATTCCTTAGAGACCTTTGGCATGTTAGACTGCCGGTTATGAATTAGTTGCTTCGTTGTCGCCTTGTCTCCAGATATGTGCTCCGGACGGGGCCAAGCTCGTAACAAAGATGTTAGACCAGGCTTGTGATGCAGAGTTTGCTGCTGATCCTCTCCAGTCCACTGCATAGCCCCCAGATGTGGTGGAGTGATTGCTTGTACTGTGGTCTCAAACTCAGAACTGCAAGAGCTAGTGATCTCAATGGGCTTTTTGGGTGAGCCACAGAATCCCTCTCCAGTGAGCCGACGAGTGAAAGACGAGACTTTTCGACTAGCCCGACGTTGCTGAAATGGGTCCATTTTAGCTGTTTGAACATCTGCCTTCTTCTTCTCCAGATCTACTTCCTCACAGTGCGCGTGTCCTGAGATAGCTGTCGACTCTGCATTGGGCGACGCAGGCACAGGCTTGCTATTACTTGACAGTATCTCAGTATGTGCGACAATGTGCGGTGTCCACACGTTGCTTTCATATGCAGTAGGGTCTATCGGCGATGAAGAGCGGAAGACAGGCCGAGAGCTATCGGTAGAATGTGTTCGGACATTGGGAGTATGTGCTTGTCTTGATGGTTCCGATGGCCTCATTCTCGTCTTCGTTGGAGTTGAAGGTTGTTCGATTGACTGCACGGGACGTAGTGGCTTCTTGAACGTGGCGCTTGACGGCTTCATTGGCTTGCGAGAGTCAACCAGTCCCTGGATAAGGGAGGCTTTCGATGACTTCAGAGAAGAAGAAATGGTCCCATGAGCACCCTCCTGGGTCTGTTGTGGCTTTCGGGCCTTGCTAGCTAGCCTTGTTGACCCTCGTACGATTGTGCTATCTTCCTTCTCTTTGCTGGCCACTTGAGCTTCATCTGACATGGCCATCATCTCCTCGGAAGCTCCTTTATTTACTCTCTTTCTCCGCTTGTTAGTGCTGGTTGACGCCAGTGTACCAGACTTTCGACTGGCGTTAGTCGCGTTTTTTAAACGCACGTCATCAGGTATGTACTCGCCATCATCGACAGCTTTCCGCTTGGCACGTGATCGGGTGTCTCTTGTACTGTTTTTTTGGTCCATGGCGATCTTCTTGGATGGTTTGGGCTGTTGTTTAGATTTTGCTTTAATCTTCTTCATAGTTGTTGGTCCCATGGTTTGCTGTCTATCTGTGCCTGGCGCCTCATATACTGCAATATCTATATCTTCTGCAGGCTCAGGGCTTGGCCTAAAAGCCCTGTCCTTCGCTAATTGAGAGACTTTGGGAAGTTTTCCTTTCCTGGCGGTTGCTGACTTAGACCTCAAGCCTGTTGTAGGAGTGTGGAAGATCGGATTATGTTCGCTTATAAGTCCCACGGACCTCGAAGGATCTTGCGTCTGTATCTGTTTTGCCCCATTATTGACCGGGGTCGTTCCATCTGAAAGTTGGCTGGGCGAGGCCTCACCTCCCCTGCCACCTGCCATAGCAGGATTTCCGTTTCCTTGAACTGGACTTGCTGCTCCTTCGGCTTGCCTGCTACCCGAAATCTCCGAGTGATGATATCCAATGTTAATTTGTCCGATAGATTTCGGCGTTGTGCGCAATTGAAAGGAATTGCCAGCAGGACCCGACTGATTCTCTTCTTGTTGAGCTTGAGAGACTTTGGCGGTAGCATGTTGCTCCTTATTTCTATCATGACGTCTCGTACCCCCGCACTTGATGGGAGAGCTAGAGGACATGTGAGGATTTATCTTCAAAGTGGGTGGCCCCATGGACGATTGAGTTGATTGCTGATGCTCCTTGATGCAACTCTCCCACTCCTTTGCATCCGCGGAATGCTCAAACATGAACGTTAGCTCTGTTCCTTGACGCGTCGAGTGGTTGAAGCGGTAAGTCCAAGGTTTCGCTTGAAGTGTAAGTGTTAACTCCCAAGGTTCGTACTCACTTGTCCGTGCTTGAGAATCGTGAAGCGTGGATTGTTGGGACTGTGTGCTACAGATGTGATTGATCGGAACGTCGAGGAAGTGAATTTCACGTAGATTGGGGCCTGGTAGAATCACGGTCAAGCTTCCCGCCTGAATAATTGCAACAGGAAGACCCTCATTGGAACTGCTCCACTGGAACTCGCCGGGAGATAATAGGGAGACGGGATAAATAATCGACGTAGTGTTGTTCGATGCGGTCAAGGCTAAGCTGTGCAATGCATCAAGGAAATCTTGGAACTTGGCCATCCAGCGCACATCGAGGTCCTTGGGAAAATTCAGCCCACAGTTGCGAACTTTGTCGGAGGCCCAGAGACGGTCATCCTCGATGTCGTGCACAAGGGCCTGTCGCATGGCCAGACCAGCAACGACCCTGGTTTCTTCCAGCTCAGTGTCACTAAGGACAATTGCTCCTAGTTTCTGTAGATCATGAGGTTGAAGATGATCAACAACATTGGGCGCTGCGCCAATCATGCCTGCCAGCGCAAGACCGATCCATCGCCGGCGGATGTGAGATAGATTAGTGTTGCAGAATGCATGTAAGTACCGCTCAGCAGTGACAAAAGAAAGTCTATCGAATTCATTGGCGATAATAAGCTGGTGCAAAAGCAAATGTGACGCGTCGGTGTCTGGCTCGTTGAGCGCAGCATCAAAAGGGAGTGAAGCCATGCAGAGAAGTGGAAAGGTTACAGTCAAGGAGACGAGACATGTCAGCGCAAGTGCGCAAAAGAAGTGGACGTGTGAAAGAAGGAAGGAAAGAAATGCAGTGTAGAGAAAAAGGGAGGGCGTCGCAGTGTTGGTTGGGAAGTCGCGACGGTCGGGATGACGTTTTGACATCTACCGGTACCGGTAGTAGGTACCGTACCTTGCGGAGGGCAGGTACGATACGGTACCACGTGACGACACCCGACGCGACAGTTTCGCGACAAGCTGAACCTTCGCCCTGGCTACACACGCACCAACGAACGCTGTCATACGCTTTCTACCCTCAAACCAGGCAGTCTAACAAAGGGAGGATGAAGCGAAGATCAAAGACAAATTGACACAAGCTTACGAGCTTTGCGGGACAATGCGTTTGATCATCCACTCCTGACGCGAAGTGATTTCATCTCAACACCAACTTAGCTACTCGAACCATCTTCTTGCGATCGGACATGATTGACCCAAGGAGACTGCAGATGTCATCCCATCCAGATCATGTAAGTGGCTTTGAGAACCCAGCTTATACGCTGTAGAATAGGTTGGGATGAATCACACCTTGAGGAAACACCAGCGCAGCTTCATTGCGTCGTTTTCGCTCAAGTACCGGTATCTACCTCAACCTATCGCGCCTAGGTAAGCATCCGCATTGGCTGCTGGCACAAGCTCTGGACAACTTCATTCAAAAGCCATGCCAAACAAGGTGCAATCGCTCATCGTATCGCGCATGTCGGCCCAACTTTGGCGCACATCATGAAAGCTCACGTTGTCATGTAAGATCTCTACAAGATCTCTCTGTCAATGTCCATCGAATCTTCCAAAATCCTCTCTGCACTTTTTTCTCCACAGAATTCCTCCACCTCAGATGCCCCTAAACATCTACAAAGTGTAGAGAAAGTCTGGCTTCCTATCCCCCATTTCCGCAATCTCCTTCTCGTCCTTGCCTTCGATCCAAACATCCCGAGCACCACTGCTTCTCTTCTTGTTCTCTCGCGCCAGCAAGGCCCTTGTCACAAGACTACCACCCAGGAGAAACAGCGTGAGATAGGCCAACACGACGCCATGGCCGAGAAAGAACCTCGGCTTGTCTTTGCCTCTGTAGATGTTTGAACTCACTACACCGTTGAGGTTGCCCCATCCTATGACGAAGCCAATGGAAACACCGCGCTTGTACACGCCTTCGACGTTGTTGGATGCCCAGGAAATGGTGTTGGCGACGCAGGGGTAGATTCCAATTGCGCCCAAGAAGGTGCCGGCGTATTGGACGTGGGGATTGGACGAACCTAGTAACATGGAGAAGCCGATGATTCCGAAGAATGAGACGATGATGTTGCAGAGTCCGCGCTGCCGCGTTCGGTCGCCAATCCAGCCGACTAGAACGGTGATTACAGCTGCCACGGCGTAGGGAGGCACAGAGAGAAGATTGGCTTTGGTTGATGTGTAGCCAAGATTGGCTGGGAGGTCTTAGTTGGATTTTAGAATTACACAGTTCTTGCACTTACCCAAGATAGTCGGAAGGAATAAACTGAACCCGTACAGAGCACCGTCAACTCCACTGTACATGATGGCATACATCCAGGTCTTCCAGTCGCCGACAGATTGCCAGAAGTACTTCATCTGGAATTCTTCATGCGTAGCCGATGCTTGATTATCTGCTCGCAAACGTCTCAGGACACGCGCGCGATCATCCGGAGACAAGAAGGTAGCTTCAGCCGGGAAATCATGCACCATCCAGTAGCTTGCAATGCCCACCACTATCGTCGCCAACCCTTCAAGAATCTGTAGATATAACACAGTCAGCACACGAGAATCACCTCTACGCTTCCCACCGTCATTGAACAACAAACTTACAAAGATCCACGCCCACCCAGGCTTCCCTCCCACCCCCTTCATCTGCGCAATCCCCGCAGCCAGCAAGCCCCCAAACGAGCCAGCCAGGGCCGCGGCACTGAAGAAGATCGCAGCCCGAATTCCAAACTCGCTGCGCTTATACCAGCAGCTCAGATAGTAATTCACACCAGGGAAAAGCCCAGCCTCCGCAACACCCAACCACCATCGAGACGTCATGAGGCCCGCGTAGTTATGCACCAGACCCATGCACGTCATGCAGATTCCCCAGAGCACCATGATGATGGGGAGAAAGATGCTCGGACGCAGTTTCTTGAGCAGGACGTTGGTAAGGGGTTCGAAGACGGAGTAGGAGACGAAGAATATGGTGAGCGAGGCCGAGTATTGGCCATCGGTTAGATGGAGGTCGGTTTGCAGGCCGTCGACTTTTGCGTTGCCGATGTTTGTGCGGTCGAGGAAGGAGATTACTATTGGGCATTTTTTGTCAGGCACAGGTGTGAGATTCGAGTGGGGTTGCAAATTGGGAATGCTGCTGTAGTGGCGGCAGTGGATGGGGAGAAAGGCTGCACATACGGTAGAGGAATGAGAGCCAGGGTATGAGCTTGAAATCTAGTTTTCGAAGCAGCTTCTTGTCGGCAGCGGCGCGGTCTTCTTCGCTGAGACCTGCGTCGGGGTCTGGCAGGTTGTCGATGGTGTGCATGTGATCAATGTGTTGCGGTGCAACGGGTGAAGACTCGATTTTCTTCTCCTCACTCGAGCGCGCGTTGCTGTGATGCTCCATTGCCGAAGCCATTGTGTCGTGAAATTTTCACTTCTGCTATGGTGGCGGTTCTACTTTTCAAGCATGGACTGCAGAGAATATACTGGATCTGTCGTCCCAATGCTTCCTCAGCTCGAACTAAAATGCAAACGAAGCGCTTGCAAACGGCCGGCGCGACTGTTGACCGTATTTCTGACGAAGATGAAGGTTAAGAGTAAAGAAGTGCTCTTCCTAGCCGCAAAGACCCCTAGGTACTCAGCTTCTCCCACGAGATCAAACGTCATGGTCACTGTTCAAGTCCCGCCCCTCCAGGCTGACCGTTGGCGTATCATAATCCCGAAAAGATGCAGCTTCGCATCCCCCCACACCCGTCATACATCTAAGCTACCGCCTTGACATATCCAATGAAGCCAGTCTCTTTCCCTAGACCCGTGCATATCAGCGAACTTTCGATTTCTCCACATACACAACCCGCCCCCCACACATATCTAGCGCATGACGATCCCCTGCGTAATCATGCCACACCGGCACCACAATCACCATATTCTCCATTTACCTAGGAAACAAGCTCCCCTCGAAATCTCCTTCCTTGTGTCCGCCGATAAATCCCAAGGCGTAGTCACGAACAGTCCAGACGGACGAACTGTTGTCTTATCTCCGGTGTCCCAAGCACAATGATCCACAACTAGCCCATCTGCCGTACGGTTACCGTAACCCCGACACGAACTATCAAAGCTCCTTCCTAGCTAGGGATGGTGGTAGGTATTAGGTAAGACCATTTTGAATGGCACGCAAGGAATAGAAGAGCCAGGGGGGTATAGTATGCTGTCTGTATAAGCCTTTGCACAAACCCATACTGGAAAACCATACGCCTGATAGTCGCACAGGCAAGATTCTCGCAAGGCTGCAATATCCATGTGCTGACGCTCCCCGTTCGCATTTCCTCTTCTCACATAGGCATTTACCTCAGCAGAGTATTGATGAACCTGTACCTGCTGCGACACACCAAAGCAATGCAGCCATTAGCTATTTGTGCTGGTGGTACCGCAGCTCACGTATACTCGAAGTGGCAATATTGCAGCAAGACCGTCGAAGACTGCATGCAGCGTGCCGTGTTTGTTCTACAGCATGTGAGAGGAGAGGGTTGCCTGCCGTACCAAGTCAATGGTCCCGTCCCGAGGTTCGAACTACCTACGGCAACGTTACTAGTCAACGCCTCATTGGTCACTTCGCGCTAAAGTTAGTACGGTACCGGTAATGGCGCGTCGCGTCTTCCCTTCACTCAGGCGATCTTTTTCGAGGCGCCATGATTGCTTGAGCATTGAACAATACACACAACGAGGGTTCTTCTGATAATCATTCTTTTTGCAAGAGAAAAATGGACGACTTGCAAGAGGACGTACAAATGGATACGCAGGAGATGGATATTGAAAGCCCACCCGAAGAAGTCTTCATGGCGCCTTCGATACACAAGGACGACATTCTTGCTGGAAGGTCATACTCGCACTTTTCGCCCATTCCCCAGCAAATTGCAGACGACATGTCCACAGAAGTCGTCCTCGGCGTGGATGAAGCCGGTCGCGGGCCCGTCCTAGGTCAGAAGCCACCCCCCTTCAGCCATAGTCCGTACCAGACCACAACTAACCCTTCCATCAGGCCCTATGGTCTATGCCCTCTTCTACCTCCCTCTCTCCCTCCATCACTCTCTCCTCGCAGACACACACCACTTCAACGACTCCAAGGTCCTCACCGCCGACTTCCGCACATCCCTCATGCGCACCCTTTGCACGCCCTCGACCGACCTGCACGCCGCCGCCGGCTGGGCAACGCGCTCCCTCTCCGCACAAGACATTTCCGCCCACATGCTCTCACCTTCCGTTTACAACCTCAACGCGCAGGCCATGGATGCCACCATCGACCTGATTAAAGGCGTGTTGGAGAAAGGAGTAAACGTAACCGACATCTACATTGACACCATTGGCAAACCAGAGATATACCAGAAGAAACTCGAGCGGATATGGCCGACGATACGCATCACCGTGGCTAAAAAGGCGGATAGCTTGTACCCCGTTGTCAGCGCTGCATCTGTGTGTGCAAAAGTCACGCGAGACGCGGCATTAGAGGTTGGTTATGGAAAATACCATGACCATGACCACAGCCACAGCCAGAGCAGCAGTACCGATGTACTCAATGCACAAACACAAACACAGGATCCAGTAAAAGCCACAGTATCATGGGGATCCGGATATCCATCCGACCCCCGCACACAGGCCTGGCTCAAACAGAACATGGACCCGGTCTTTGGCTGGGGCACAGAGTGTCGCCATTCGTGGGGCACAGCCAAGGAATTGCTCGAGGGGAAGAAGGCGGATGTAGGTGTGGAGTGGCCGGTAGAGGACGAGGGGGATGATATGCGCTTGACAGATTTCTTTGTGGGTAAGGGGGAAGGGAGGGGGGATGAGTTGGCGGACTGGTTCGGGAAGAGAGTTACGTGTGAGATGGAGGTGTTTTGATGTAGGTTGCATCATATAAATCTAGACGTCACAGCGGCTTGCGTACCCCACTCTGGGTATTCATCACAATAGACGAGGGAACGAACCTCGAGGTGTAAGGAGAAGTAATGAGCTTACAGCCAACATAGCAGCGACAGGGCAAAAACTCATCCGACGCATCGTAACGAGAGCAATAGCAAACATTCTAAACACATCAAACGAGTCTACCAAACCACCCAATCCTCGAGATGAAAGAAAAAGACCTCACACCCTCCCTACCATCCACCGCCCTACACCACAACCGACTAACCCCCCAACCCAAATCCTTCCCTTCCCCACCCCTCCTCCTCACTCAGCAATCATAGCCTCCTGCGAATGAAACCCATGCGTTGACCATACCACACGCTCCTCCTCGTCCCCATCCTCCCACTCATTCGGACAAAGCGGTACCGGCTGCCACCACCGACTACGCACCATCAGCTTCCCGACATCACCCCAATGATGCGGATCCCGCATCACCCGCTGCAAGATTTCCGTATCCATGTCGCGCGTGCGCAGGCCGGCTAGTGTGCGTGTTATGCGCGTTTGTAGGAGTGAGGTGTTGGATAGGGCGGGGAAGTTTTTGCGTGGGGGGTGGGGGGCTTGTTGCTGAGGTAGATTGGGGAGGTGGGGTGGTGGTGGGGGAGTATGGGGGATGTGGTGGATTGGGGGATTGTCATCGTGGTGGTGGTGGTGGTGGTGGTAGTAGTAGTCATCCTCGTCCTCGTCCTCGTCCTCGTCCTCATCATCAACATTCTCATCATCGCAGTCCCCAAACCGCGCCCCCCCATCCCCTCCATACCGAAAAAAATACCCACTCTGCGCAACACCAGGCCCTGCAGACACCGCGCGCCGCACCTCCCGCCTGCCCTGGCCCTCGCGACCCTGCCTCGCGTGCTCACTGTTTACACTGCCAAGGCACTGCACAGCCGCCATCCGCGCCGTCGCTAGCTGCTGTAGTGCGCACCTGTATAGCTCGAATCGGCCCCGTGCTAGCGTGAGCCGGAGCTGAGTGATCTCGTGCCGTATGCGGAGTACTTCGGCGTGTACGGTGGCTTGCGAGGTGCGATGATGGGCAGAGTTGCTTGTGTTTGAGTCGGTGGTGCGGAGTGGGAATTCGTTGCTGATTCTGCGGATGATGTGGCGGGTGGGTATGGGTAGGGAGGGGGATGTTTCGCTGGAGAAGAGGGCGGGTTGGTGGGGAGAGCGGTTGTGGGGGTTGTCGTGTATGTGGTGGGTGAGTACTGTTGTGAGTGGAGTGTTGTGAGGAGGGATTGTGGCTGGAATTGTGGTGGGAACTGAGCTGGGAGTATACGTTTGGTCTGTTGTTGTGGATGCGATGGCTGTTGATGGGTAGCTTGCAGATGGGTTAAAGTTTTCTCGATGAGCGTGGTTCGCTTCATCATGTCTGTTCACCCGTCTCTCTATAATCCCTTGTCTTGTACGAATACTGATTCTCGCTGCAAGAATTGTATGGTGGTCGTTCCGGGTCAGTGTTGGGTCTTGTCGGGCGTTGCCTAGCCGAAGCAATTGTTCTTCAGCACTGCAACCTGATGACAAGATCTGGCGAACGATTTCTGCGCCTCGTTCTTCATACCGCAGATTAATTGGCATACATTCCAGTTCAGCATGTGCTTGGCCCGCAAAGGGAGCGCTGTTGGGTTCCTCTTGTTGTTGGTTGTTGGTGGCGAGTGGATCTATGTGTCCATCTGGGTGGCTGCTGCTTCTCGACGTATCGGTGGCACCATCGTATCGGGAAAGTAGAGGCATGTCGAGTATAAGTTTCTGAAAAGGATTGTGGGCTGGAGCTTAATGTATGTGTGTATGTTTGTTTCGAGTAGTGATACTGATGGAATGATAGTACGAGCGGATGGGCGCAGTGCAAATGATAGTGGAAGTACGGCGAGTGTAGAATGATGAATGTGAGAATGTGGATTGATGCTACTACTGCAAGTTCGCTGAGTAAGAGTACTTTCTTAAACAGAGCATTGGGCGCTCTTCACTTTTATGAGAGCTGAGGAAAGAGTTGCTGCGTTGACGGAGTCGGAAGGCACATGGTTCCACAGCTTTGTGACACTCAGCAGCTGAGGTGTTAGCCTTTACTCCGAGAGATGCTCTTACTGACCTCGTAATTTGGCAACAGTGGTTGAATCTTTAGGACAATAATGCGGCACAACAACGTGAAAGTAGATTGGAGATAAGACACGACATGGAATAGATACTAATTGTACCATAACATATAGTAGCATAGCCATATTGACTTTCAACAACATGAGTAGAGAATGATACGAATAAGTCGATATTGATCAATTCCCACGAAAACATCCATCCTTAGTGTGTGAAAGCACGTAGGGTAAGACGACGTTGGTGCTTGCCAACCATTTTGTTTAGCGCGTGAGGATGCGACTGGGTCCAAAATATCGCATGCGTCCTTCACTGACTTCGTCTTGACACTGACTACTAACTAATTATGCTTTTTCTTAGGGCGGTCTATTCCGCACTCTCATATTCTTCCATCTCGTATAACCAGATTCACCCTTGAACTGCTGCGGCATTTGGTCTACTAGACGCCCCTTCGCATACTTGTAACAGGCGTACCAAACAGCCACGACAATCGCTGTTAGGGGTACTGCGATGACCCATAACAGCCAGAAATCCCGCGATACCGTCATATGATACGGCTTCTCATCCTGCAGTTTCATGAATTCGGTTCCGAAGACAGCGGCGATGGTGCTCAACGGCATGAAGATTAGGGTCATGACTGCTATTGTCTTCATGCTTTGACTTTCCGATTGCATCAGACGGCTGTCACCTTGCGTAACAATGTGGAAAGATAGTTGGATGATGTTGGCCATGCGCGCATCCAGACTTGTCAGCCGGCACTGCGTCGATTGGAATAGCGTGCGGCGGTATTGGAGCGCCTGGTACGTGAGTTTTTGCGAGGGATGCGGACGATCCCTCATTCTCGATTTGTGGCTATCTTGCAGGTCGTTTAGTGTTGTTAACGCTGCTTCGCAGTTTTCGCGCAGAAATATGGTATGCTTTGCCAAGTTATGAAGGCCCGTAAAGTGGTCGTCAGGCAGCTCTGTCGTAGCCTTTCCTGGTGTGCTTGCCATGCTCAGTGTTTGCTGATAATTCATTAGAACATACTTTGCATAGATTGAGCCGCAGGCAAGTATTACCGTTTCAATACTACCAAAGATGTTTCCAACTATCCAAGAAGTTCGGTCCAACATTTTGAACATCTCTTCAAAGACAATGTCCATAAGGATATACGGATCATTTATCAGGTCCCCACCCTTAGCCGTGCCTATCAATCTTCGAAAGCGATCTCGCAGTGTATTTGGTGCGCCAAAGCAGAACAACTCAACTTGTGGCGGCGTAGATATTACTGCTACCGTGACATCGCTGGCCGAAGAGCTGGTTCTGAGTGGTTGTGGTGTACTCGAGTCTCGTATTTTGAGCACGAAGCCGGGCTTTAGCCATGTGTAGTTCGCCTGGCTCTGACTTTGTGCCGCGATGCGGTTTGCATCTTGGCTTTCAGCTTTGTTTTGAGGGTGCACAATTCGGTCCTGATCTACTGTTACATCTTTACAGAGGATGTGGAACCAAAGGCACGTTGAACTATCCGTATCGTAGTGTACACCAAAAGATTGAGAGACGCCTTGCAAACTTTCGTTGACAAAGGCGCTAGGTATTTCGCATCGTTCGAATAGCTCCACGAATCCTTCGACTGTATTAGGATGTGGCACATCTTTTGGGGCCCAACTATTCAGTTAAGTAGGTAAGTAACAGATGCGACGCTCGCTGGAAGACTTACACTACACGAACGGATCCTCCACTTTTGGTGAGCAACTCTCCTACTGAATTGATATTGCTAATCTCAACCCCATGGGCATGATTATCTGACCATCCGAAAGCCTGAAGAGGCAAGTAGTTACCCGGGCCCGGTGCTCTAACTCGCGCTGCTTTTGGGACCTCAGCTCGAAAGTCGTCCAGCGGCTTGTGATCTACAGTAGGACCTCTGAATGACATTTTAGCAGTTACATGTATGAACTCAAACAAAGATTCCCCAAATTGCAGTTATTTTGCATTAGACAAATACAGCTTTACAGAACATACTCTGATCATCCTAGCTGCACAGAGTTCGAAAAAGCATTGTTGTACTACAGCCGTACCGTACACATGGGGACGAGTCTCGGCTTTGCCGTACTCCTTTTCCACCTTGGCCCCCTTGCCAAATTCTCAGCGACGCCATTACGGCCCCCACCATACAGCAGCCAGGATCTGGTTGTATTATGGCTGCGCCGCAAATACCCATTGCAGTCTCATAGGACATTCGAGACTAGCAGTGCTGACCCTCATGTTTTCAAATCTTAGCTTTGATCTTGTACCGGTGCATGGGGAGCTCGATACGAAAGCTGAAGGCAGTTCAGTATCTGCCATCCTATCATGTGCGCTGCTGGCGCTACACAACGTCCCAAAAAAGTATCGTGGCGCAAGGCTGTGAAAAGGCCACGAGATGAGCCCATTCCACAGCTCTACACAAGAGTTATTCGATCTGACCACAGCCAATTTTCCCAGGACCTGACCATTGTTCAAATGCGAGAATGCGAAGCTTTCGAAACTAGTAATCCCTGCGTTAGATGCAGCCTTTGTCTGCTGACCGCGTCACCAGTCGTAGGACCTGCATCCGCACTGACAGAAAGAATAACGTGATCCACCACCGAGCGCCCACCCCCACCGAGCGCCCACCAACACCAAAATCCACCACCCACTAAATAAGGATATTGCGCCACCCACAATAGCTATTATCACGAGATTTCTTAGAGTCGCAATTATTAGATCTATTAGAGTAGATTAAATATTTTAGATTATATAAGCAGCTTTTTAGGGGGTCTAATTAGGCGCCTACGCCGTGAAGTTGCCTCCACTACTATATCCTCTTCTACTAGCTCCTTATTAACTACCTTAGCTAGTATAATAGTAGGAGGCTTAAGGATTTACCTCTTACCTATTTAGGATATTTTAATATTATTTTAGAGTTACTTTTCTAGTTACTTAGTAGTTTTCTACTTATTATATATAGTAGCTTTTTAGGCAGCTTTCTCCTCCTACTCCTTCTTAGTAATTACTTAATTTAGGTAACGCTCCTCTATAAGTTAAGCTTTAGCAAGCTTCTATTACTTATAAAGCTTAATTACCTTACTTTTTTAGTGTTATAGCTCCTATTCTTTAAGGTTCTTTTACTCCTAGAGCTTAAACACTTACTCTACCTTTAATAGTAAAATAAATTAGGCACTACTACTATAATTATTATTAGGGGGTAATAATAGAGGTTTACTACGCTTCCTACGCTTCTTCTTATTAGCTAGGGCAGCCCTTAGGTGTTTATTTTTATAGTTAAGTAGAGTATTTCTTACTAATATAATATAGATTATCTAGCTAAGCTTCTTTAACTATTTATTATAGATATTAATTATAGTATTATAGAGTAACTACTCTATCTTTCTCTAATTACTTATACTTAATATTAAGGTTATACTATTACTTAAAGAAGGCTAGTTACTATTATTTATAGGTGCTTTAAACCTTAAAAGAATAATATTAGGGTTAAGTAGTAAGATACCTATTACTTTAAAAGCTATTAATATTAGCTTTTCCTTAAAGGTATTACTCTATATAGTATTAAATAACTAGTAGAAATCCCTCTTAGTAATGCTTATAAGCCCTTAGGAGCTATCTAGAAAACTAGATAGTTAAGCTTTATATAAAGCTATAAAGGGAGCAAATACTATAATATTAAGTAGCTAAAGGGTGTAAGTGCTATAAGGGGGATATATTATAAGTAGGATCTTATATTTATTATAGTACTTAATAAACTCTATTATTATATAAGATCTATAGCTATTAAGGATAAGGAGCTAGTATAAAGTATAAGCTTTAGCTTTTGTCTTGCAATTAAACACCTCCTTAAGCTAGGATACCCCTAGGGTATAGCTTATCTACCTACTTAGTAATCCTATAAAGAAAGCTTAGTATTATAATAGGTTAAAATCTTATAACTAGGTATCCTATAGAGCTCTAGATTAGGACTAATAAATAAGGGCAGAGGTAAGAGCAGTACTATTAGTGCATATGCAAGCTATAGTAGTAATCCACTCCCTATTACTATCCTAGAGTATAGCTCTAATCTTTCTCTGCTTATAGGCGCTCTTATTAAACATACGTTTAGTTTTTAATAGTACTCTATGTTATGGACTAGCCTTAAGGGAGAATGCAATAAGCGTTAATAATAGTATTTAGTATCTTAAAGGAGAGATAAGCCCTCTACGCCTTTTTATAGGTGTCTAGTATGTTTGCTTAGTAGTGGTGTTAGACTTAGTCTATCTTGTGTTAGACCTAGGCTTAGGCATAAGCCTAAGCCCTTTACATACCCCTAACCTTCCCTATAAACTATTGTGAAATTGTCTTTCTAGGGGTTTAGGGTTATGTCTCTATCCTTTATAATCTATATTAGGCTTTATTACTATATTTTTTAGTTTTATTATTATATCTTTATATTTCTTCCTAATTTATAATAGGCCTGTATATTAAGTAGTACACGCGTGTAGCGTCTATACGCTTATTTTAGCACCCTACTATAAAAGTTCTAATATAGCGTTCCTACCCTACTATAAATTTCCTAAACTTACTTTGTTATATAATAGATTTTCTTTACTAATTAGCCCTCTTTCTACCCTCTCTATATTAATCCTACCTATTTAGCCTCTATTATATCCTTATCTACTACTACTAGTGCTAGTAGTAGGGATCTACTATAAGGCAGTTAGACCCTACGCTAGGCCTACTAAAATAAGGTGCGTACTTCTACTATTCTCCCTATATTTCCTACACTAACTTTTACTTAGTACGCGTCTCCCTAAATATAGCTACTTAGTAGCTTTATTATTTCTAGTAACTTAGATAATAAGGAGTATAATAGTAGCTTTATAAAGCTGCTTCCCTATAATTAATATATTAACTAGCTTTATCTTTTTAGTAAGTATAACTATTAGGAGGGTAGTAGTAAGTTCCCCTTAATTTTTATTTTCTTTATAGCAAGTTCTAACTATATCTAGGGTGTTTATATAAGTCTTATTATTGTAGTTATAAGACCTATACTAGGTTAGAGGCTATACTTGCTAATAATCCTAACGTCTGCTAAGCCCTCTATAACTAGCTTTAGTTTTATTATAATTACTAGGAGGATCGCCTCTATATTGCAAAGAAAGGGACCCTTAGAACCTTTATAGGAAAACCTACTAAAGGCACTTACTACTAGTTTATGCTATAGTTCTACTAGCTCTACTATTATTTTAAGGATCTTATATTAAGGGCTTAAACTAATAATACTATTACTCTACTTGCCCCTACTACCTACTTGCGTGCCTATAATTAGTATTAGCTTAGTGCTATTATTCTATCTACTACTAGTACTTTAGCATTTCCCCTTTAGTCTACTATTACACCTTTATATAGTAGTTATAGTAATAATAATATTATATAGCTTGCTACTACTACTAGTGTTACCTTCTAGCGTATTAACTAGCGTATAAACAAGACCTAGGCCTAAACTAACCTTTAAATTAATAAGCTTAAGAGCGCTGCTAAGCGCACTACCTATAGTATTAAGACTCTTATTATTAGTATTAATTTTCCTTTATTCCCTTTATATATATTCTAATATTAGCTTTCTTTAGGCCTAGGGTGCTATATATTAGTAAACTATTAAAGCACTACCCTCCTCCTACTACTACTACTACTACTACTTATACTTGTTAACTAAGTTATCCCCTACCTATACTACGCGTAAGTATTACTACTATTACTAAGAGATATAGAGGTGTTAGAATAATATAAATAATAGTTTAGGGGGAGCTAAAGGGGGGTTAGTTGTAGATAGTAATAGTATAGATACTACTACCTAATTATTAGCTACCTTATAGAACTTTAATAGTAGGGCACTTACTTAGAGTGTTGTTAGGATAAATAAAAGATATCTCTAATACCTTTCTACTTCTTAATTATAATAAAGGTCTAAGTTATTATTCTAGTTTTCTTCTATACTTGCTTCCTAGCTTTTATATATATTAGGCTATTATTATGCGTAATATCCCTATACTATTCCTTAAACCTATCTAGAGCCTTAGTATCCTATACTACCTCTAGTAGGTGCTATATTAGATTAATATACCCCTTCTACTTTACTAGGACTTAATACTTCCCTTTTCCTCTTATATTCTTTGCATAAAGGATCTCTTCTACTTCCTATTTATCTAGTATTGCGTCTTTATTTTCTAGAGTAACTATAGGGCCTAGTTATAAGTCCTAAAGCTTCTAGCTTAGTAGTAGATTATTAGTAGCTCTCTCTAGTAGATCTATATGCATAGTCTTATATAAGTTCCCTAGTAAGTCTAATACTACTATAAGTAGAGTAGGGACTTCTATTACTTTATACTTTACCTATAGCTAGTTAAACTTTTTACTTAGTTAGTTTATCTTTATATTAGATATTATAAACTAAACTATATTACCTTTTAGGAACTTTTTAGCTAGCTATTAGGACTAGTTTATTGCTTCCTATTATTATTACTATTAGAACGCGATAGTAGCTTATGCTAGCTCTACACCCCTCTATAGGTGCGACAAGAACGCTATAGCCTCTCTATAAGGATTCTTAGGCTTTACTAGTAGTAATATTTACTTTTATAGAGTGTCTATAGTATACCTATTTAAAAGAAGATTTAGGCTAATACTAGTTATGCTAGAGTCCCTATTATTAAGTGCAAGTTAGTAGGCTAGCAGGTAGTTAGGCTAGTTAGTCTGCTTAAAGCATACTATTATACGCAGCACTACCTGCACTTCTTAGTTTACCTGCTCTATCCTGCTGTCTATCTAAGGGTAGTATGTAGTAGATAGTAACTAGTTTATCTTTATTATCTAGTATAATATTATCTAGAAAGATCCTAACTAGTTAGAGCCTTAGTTAGTAATAATAGAGGATAGGAAGCCCTAGAACTACTACTAGTTATCCTAGAAGATCCTTGTATAATAATTAGCTACTATAGAGACTATTACTTTAAGCTAAACGTATTTAGATAATCTATTAGTAATAACTAATAGGAACTAAAGTTTACTATTATCTTTTATAGGTAGGTTAACTATAAAGTCTATAGATATTTAGGACTAGTATTATAATATAACTAGTATAGGTTATAATAGACCCTATTAGCGTTTCTAGGAGATATAAGCACTATAATAATAGTAGTTCTAGATATACTACATAACATCTCCTAATATTCTATCCTAATAATAGTTACGGCGTAGTATTTAAAATATTATATTCTTTCCTAGATATCCTACTAAACCTAATTTATATACTTGCTATATAATAGTAGTTATAAGGGGTTCCTATATTAGTAACTAAATAACGCCCCTCTAAAGCAAAGTACCGTGTGCGCTAATTGTATAGTCCCTAATCTATTACTTTGTGTTAGCTAGAACTAGGAAAGACCTAGCGCCTTTCTAAACTATATTAAGACGCACTTAGTATATCTTATCTTCTAATACTACTTTATCCTATAGTATCTATATATACAGGTTAGCAAAGAGGCTAGCGCCCTTTAGTAACTTAGACGCCTTCTCTGCTTCTAATACTACAACCTAGATTAATTTAGGGCGTATTACTAACTATAGTGTTGCTTTAGAGGAGTTTAAATCTTATAGTTACCTACTTAAGGTATTAGGTTATCCTATAAGATAGCTAGGTCTGTACTATAGGATATACTAGTATTTTAAAAGTTCCTCTACCTAGTAGTACTATTACTTGCTTAAGCTTTAGAGGCTAGTAAAGTACTCTAGGTTTTTATAGTCTATAAATATTATAAATAGCTTATAAACGCTCTATAGCTCTACTAACTAACTTTTAAGATACTTAATAATAGCTAGTAATTCCTTATTATATATAGTGTAGTTTTATCTCTCTAGTATTAGTGCTGCAGAGTAGTAAGTAACTAGGTGCTAGACGCCCCTAACTTTTTATAATAAGCAACCCCTAAGAGCGTATCCTAAATAGTCTGCTTCTAATAATATTTCTTTAGATAGGTCCTATTACGCTAGTACTAGTCTAGATATAAATACCTTTTTTAGTGTATTAAATACACTCTATTCTTCCTCTCCCTATTAGAATAGGGTGTCCTTTCTAGTTAGTTAGTTTAGAGGTGCTACTACTTTAGAAAACTTTGCAATAAAATTATAGTAGAAGTTAGTAAAACCTAGAAAACTCCTTACCTCTCTTATATTCCTAGGGGATTCCTATTCCTATACTGCCCTAAGCTTTTTAGGGTTAGGTCTAAGTAATTTGCCTACCTTAATAATATAGCCTAGGTAGCGTACCTCCTTAATATAGAACGCACACTTCTCTAAGTCTAGGTATAGTTCTACTTTTTTTAATAGCATAAGTATACACTTTACTTTTTCTATATAGTTAAACTAGTCTCCTTCTAAATAAATTAGGATATTATTAAGGTAGACTATTATATATAATCTAAGTAACTCTGCAAGTGTAGTATTAATATATTATTAGAAAGTAGATAGCGCACTACTAAGACTAAATAGATATACTAACTATTTATATAACCTAAACTAGGTATAGAAAGCTATTAAGGACTTATAACCTTCTACTATTCTAACTTTATAAAAGGCAGCGTGAATATCTACTTTTATAAACTAATTTACGCTAGATAGTGTGCGTAAAGTTTCCTTAATAAGTAGTAGTAGGTATTAGTCTAATATTATTATGCTATTAAGTATCTAGTAATCTATATAAAGGCGCTAACTACCTAATAGCTTCTTTACTAGCAATACTAGAGCTCTAGCTATAGAAGAGCTTGCTTAGATCTAGCCCTTATCTATTAATCTAGTAAGTTATATTCTTAGTTCTAGCAATTAATTATAAGATATAGGGTATAGGGGACCCTATAGGGGGTTAGGCTAGGTTCTATCTAGGAGAGTTGTTAACTAAATATAGTAATCTATACTACCCTAATAGGGTAGCAAACTGCTTGCTAACTCTTTGTTAAACAGGTCCTTAAACTCTTATAGTTCTAGTAGCAACTTTATCTTTCTAGTTTTATACTTAGGCTTATAGGGAACTATGCTATTAGTAATATAGATAGTGTGTATATTAATAGGACTTCCCTTATTAACACTTCTTAGATATTTTATTAGGCGTAAGTTATATATTACCTATAAAATATCTAGTATATTTATTACAAAAATTTATACCTATATATCTTCCTATTAGGGTCCTTAATTTAGTAACCCTGCTATAACTAAACCTAAGATAATAGAGATACAGGTAGGATATAGGCGTCTCCTGCTCTCTTGTACTACTATATTTCCTACCTTCCTAATTATTAATTCGCCTTATAGAATGTCTATAATAACGCCCTCTCTACATAGCTATAGTCTGCCTAGTATTAGTTAATAGGAGAGACTAGGTACTATATAGGCTAAAAGCTAAGACTACTAACTATCTAAATTATAGTCTAATACTACTAACTATAAAATTCTTATACCCTTAGTAATTCCCTAGGCATGTTATAAGGGTTGCGGGGGAATATCTATAAAGTTCCTACTAATCTATCTTACTAACTTTTCCTTAACTATACTAAAACACTAGCACCCTAAATTAACTATTGCTTACACGTTCTCTACTCTACCTAGGAGGAGGGGAATAAAGAAAGGAGGATTATTTAACCTAGCCTTAATATCTAGGGGACACTTAATAGCCTCTACTATTAATAATTCCTTTATTATAGTATCCTCCTTATACCCCTAACTTAGCCTAAAGTTAGGGGTAGCTAGTTTCCTAAATTAGGGCCACTTACTAATACTATAACTATCTTAACACCTACTAGTTGCAGTAATAGGGTATTAGGGTATACACGTATAAAATAACTGCCCTATCTATACTAGGTGTAGACCTTAGCTAGTTTCTATATATTAAATAGGTCCTATAGGATCTAGTTAGGATATAATATTAGTAGTTTAGTAGGTGTACTTAATAAGGCTACTACTTCTACTATATTTATATCGCTATCCTAATCTAAGTTAGACTTCTACTAGGGTTCCTTAGACTTACTAGCCTAAAGAAAACCTAGTTCTAGAGAGGCTATTTTAATATCTACTATAATTATCTTATATTCCTCTATAGCTATATTATAGTTTGTCCTAGAGACTCCCTTATTAAGGGAAACTAAGCGTATATAACTATTAAGAGATTGCTAAAGTTATAAAAGCTTCTATTTATTATCCTAGTATAAACCTCCTAACTATATAAGGAGCTATATAAAATTTATAAAGAACTCTATAAAAGGCTAATTTTAGCCCTAATATAAGTGTTTTAATATAACTTAGGCACGCTCCTACCTATAATAGTTACTATAATAGAACGCTAGGTAGTCTAGAAACCTACTTATATCCTAACGCTTATGTGCACTATCCTTAAAGTATAGTGCTATAGCACGCTAGACTATAGGTAATAACTAGGACTAAATATATATAAATCTTGCCTCCTTATCCCTAATAAAGACCTTGTCTATACGCAGTTTAAACTCTATAGTTATTTACTAGGAGGAGAAGTTTGCCTTAGTACTATTATATAGTAAGCTAACTAGGAAAGGTTTATAATATAAGGTAGGGGAGGGTAGAGGCAGTATATTATTAAACCTAGTAGGCTTAGAGAAGGGTTAGGATAGAATCTAATTGCGTATTTCCTTATTCTATTAACATAGTATAGCTATTATAGTAGAGTCTTAAGCCTATTATTCTATTAATCTATAGACCTATTATATTAGCCTTTCTACTATATTAGGTTGCACCTAGTTATTCTAAATATCTAGCGCGTCTATCTCTTATTACTATTATAGTATATTTAGAAGAAGATACTAAAATATTATAGACTAGCCTTAAGGGAGAATATAATAAGCGTTAATAATAGTATTTAGTATCTTAAAGAAGAGATAAGCCCTCTACGCCTTTTTATAGGTGTCTAGTGTGTTCGCTTAGTAGTAGTGTTAGACTTGGTCTGTCTTATATTAGACCTAGGCTTAGGTATAAGCCTAAGCCCTTTATACTCTAATAAGAAAACCCTTCTTATCTATATTATAGATATACTAACTCTTAATATTATATTACTCTATTTTTTAGTGTAAAAGCTTAAAGTATAAGCTATACTTAAAGGTAGAATTAGCTTTAAAGTAGTTACAATTAAGCCTAGTAGCCTAATAGGAGATAAGATTAATATTATAGTAGTTAATAAAGCGCTATACCTAATTTTTACCTACTAGATTCCCTATTATTTTAGTTGCAAAATTTTAAATAATAGTCTATATAGGGGGTAATCCTTACCTATAAAGCTCTTTAATATACTCTATAAGCTTGCTTTCTTACGTGGTGTTAAGTATTTAACTATTTAGTAGAGTAGTAGTGCGCGCCTGCTAAATTTTCTAGTAGCGTCTAGATAAGGTTAACTACAAGTAACTATACTTTTCTACTATTTCTAAGTATATAAAATCTTCTCTAAGAGTTAAGGATTTAATTGCTGCAAGCGCGTTGTTAATAGGTGCCATGGTTGTTAAGAAATTTGGTGTTGAAAATTTGGTGATTTTGGTGTTGGTGGGCGCTCGGTGGGGGTGGGCGCTCGGTGGTGGATCACGTTATGACTGCCCGGTAATGGAATGCCCCGACTTGGATTATGAATACTTCAAGCCGACAGCAATGCTGACATGCTTGTGATAATCAGGATAAAAGTTTGTACTTTTCAAAGCGAACAAGAGTTGATGTTGGTCAGGATAGATACAAGTACGGATTAAGCGAGAATCCTTAGGTACCTAGACCTGTCGTTCACTGGTACCGCTAGATCAGCTGGATGTGATGATTTCGATTCGATTTCTTGTAAGGCTTTCTCCAAAGCGGAACGTGCCTTAAGCCGGCGGCAAAAGCGACCAGGGTAGGCGAAAAGCCGATATGGTTACAGCCATCAGTGCATCGTTACACCGATGATTGAGATACCCGTAGACGATGAACATGGTGTGGCTACAAAGATGGTATACTGCTCTGGGACGACCGGTGAACTCGCCCCTGGCTTCAACATGATGGTAGCCTGCTCATGTTCGACAAAAGTGGTAATAGACACCGGTATTCTTGAAGGGGGCTTTATTGACTGCGCGAGCGCATGGTCTGGTCCAATGATTGGACCTGGCTTATAGCTGACCTGAACAGGGAGACACAAATTTCGGAGTCTCTAGACCATTTTGGGACCATGGAAAGGTTCGTCAAACACCGTGGGCGCTGTGGCTCACGTCCCTAAGCTGGCTATAAACACACATCTGGCATACTATATCAACACTCCTAGAGCACGCTTCAAGCACCATCATTGCTACAATACTCCTCTTCCCCCCCGAAGATTTAGCTCAGTTTACATGGTACAAAGTCACGAATTCACCTATCTAAGCTTGACTCACTAACTTGTATCGAGGCCTACACTTCTAACCCTTCTGGACGACACGGAGGAGGCCTCGATCCTAATACCAGTACTTCTATTCAAGCCTCATCCATTCACCAGGTAAGATACAAATGTGCAACTTCACGCGTAGCATTCATAATTAAGCAATACCCAGGGTCCAAAGGTCCATCTCGGAGGAGGCAATTTCGATCCAAACTCTCCCTCCTCGAGAGACTCAGTGACTGTACAACCACTTCCGATTGAGAGGCCAAACTTCAACGCGCAGGCAACTCATAGTTACCCAGTAGGTTGAACAATCTTGAGCCTGGCGATGAAATTAAAACGTTGCTTTAGGCTCCGTCCACAAACGCTCCTCGGCCATATCAGCAAGCGCCGCATCAGGACAAGGCTGAGCCAGGCTGCATAGCCCAACTTCGTGCTTTCTTCCGATAATTGCATTTGAAGAAATCAGCATGTCTTCAAAGGAGACTCAGAATTCTGCCTATGAGGTGGGATCTAACAGTCCTGCTGGCCTTCATCATGGCGATGTCCCAGTGCCACCGCAGGACCAGCCCTATGGGAAGGTACATCATGCACAATCTACTACCATATCTGTTTCTGACACTGCCAAGCCAAATCTTCCCGTGCGGCTGCGCGAATACGCTCACATACTCGATCCCTGGACTATCTTCAAATGGGAACACCCTCATTTCTACCGCAAACCTGGTTTCGGATACCAAAAGCTAGGTATGTAGGTTCCAACTGCGCTGCTCCATCTTCATGTTTCCATACGTGCTTGTGAAGATGACTAATTTATAACTTTAGCCTCTTATCGACATCGTGACGTGTTTGATCGCATTTGGATTGGAGACTATGATGATCGCTACATTTCGTCTTGGGATGGCAAGATCTCCAAGCTTGTTGTGCAGGCTGTCGATGACATTTATGACAATAATACGGGATCTACATATCGTCGGACTTTCATAAGGAATAGTAAGTAAAAGGTGAAATCTGCTTTGTGTGCTACTCAGGCTGACTCTTATGCACACATCAGGTGCACCTATATTCCTGAGACTTGCTAATTGGCCTTTCAACCACATTAATTATGCAAAGCACAATGGGCCCACAAGCGAAGGTAAAATGAAGTCAGTACGAAAATCTTCGTGGGACTGACAAAACTAGATTTCCCCATGCTATGCCTCAAATGGTTCATTGCATCATGTGCCATCACCCTCGTTGTTAGTAGCTCTCTGACCCGATATCTATCACAACTAATCGCTGGGACCGTGCAGATATCCACTCCTATTGCTGCTCAGCCGGAGGCGCGAAACAATGGCGGCTATGATCCCGTGCCATATCAATACTTTGGCTATCCCAAGGTCGCCCGCAACATCCTCGAGATGGATCGTCCTTTGGGCCGCGACTCGATCCAGACAAACGCCATTGCCGAACGTGTGCTACGGCCTCGCTATCTCTGTTTCTTGCGCGATAAGGGACAGCCTGCCAAGATTACGAAAGTTGAAGAATGGTAACTTTTCCAATCATGGCTTGGTGTAGCGTGGGCTGACCATACAAGGATTACTGAAAACCCTGGGCGTAACCTCTCTTATGTGTTCATTGCATATACGGCTGAGCAGTTTGAAAGTACAGAAGATCTCCTGGCCCTTCATAGGATCGCTGATGCGGCCGCTCGTAATGCTGGAGTCTTGGCCTATTGGGTCGGCTGTTCGTGCATGCCTGAGCGGGACGAGATGCAAGAAGACGTAAGTACACTTCCAAACTAGCTTTGAACAATACACTCACACCAGTCAAGGTTTATCGCATATGCGATGTGATCCGAGGCGCACATTCCCTTGCCATAGCCATTGGCCGACCAGCAAACGACGGCAAAGACATCAATGTAGCAGATATCTTGCTTCAACAATGGGGTAAACGTGTATGGACGTTCCCTGAGATCCTCCTGTCACCCGCTGGCAAGGAGGTCAAAGTTTACATGCGTGGTGGTGATCTCACGCTCCCCATTCGCGTGGCCAAAAATCAGTTCGCTGCGCAAGTGTGGAAGGACGATGCCCTTGTTGCGCGTCAGGTACGATGGGAATCGCTATATACATGGATTAAAGAGAGTCTACTAACTGACCATCCAAGCTCATCGACCATTACGAAGGCAACATGATTCTCAGCCAACTAGAACTCGTCACTCTAGCCCTCGAATGTCTCCACAAGCGAGAAACAGCCCAGTACCTCCCCGGTGATCACAGTTACGCGCTCATGGGCCTCCTACGCATACGCCCCAAAATCGACCCCACTGACTCGGCCTTTCAAGCTTTCGCCCGGTAGGTCAAGAATTTCACTCATGGTGGGTACTGTTATACCCAACACCACTGACCATGACAGCCTCTCCCTGGCAAACGGCAGCGACCAGCTCCTCGAGCGCCTCATCTGCGTTTTACCCAAGACACCCGACCAGCCCTGGCACTCGATGGACGATGCCTATGACGCCAAGCTCTGGGATATTCTCCCGCAAGACGTGGGCATAGCAGGCGTAGGCGAAGACGACACCATCATCCTCGACGGCTGTCGAGCCGCAAATATACGCTGGTACGTCCTCTACACGCGCACAAACTCAGACTACAATCCCAGATGCACTGACCCATGCTTCTTCGCCCTCACAACAGGAAATCCTTTACCCCTGTCGCTCACACCCGCCGCCTCTCCTGGCGTCGTCTCCTCGCGCAAATTGCCCTACGCCTCACGACCATCGTCTTCATCGTCGCGCTCGTACTCCTCGGCATCCCCTCTACAAAAATCATTGGCATCGGCCTAATCATCTACACCCTCGCCCTCATGGCACTGTCCCCCTGGCTCCTGCGCCTGCTGTACCTAGGCAAGTTCTGGGAGCAGCAGTGCTGGTTCTTTGGCTTCGAGGGCTATATGGACCTGGACACGATTGAGACGCAGATATTTGGGGCCCGGCTGGGCCGCATGAAGTGGACGGCGGCGGCGTCGCCGTTGAGTCGCCATCGGAGGAATGAGCAGGGGGAGTGTGTGGGGTTCGATCCGACAGAGGATGAGGCGGTGCGGGAGTTGGTGGAGAGGGCAAAGGGGGCTGGACCTGGTGATATGAGGGTGTTTACTTTGGTGGATACTGGTCCGTTCTTTTCTTTCTCCTTTCTCCTTTCTTCTTTCTCCTTTCTCCCTTCTCCCCTCTCCACTTCCCCCCTGCCCCTTCCCCCACCATCACCACCACCCAACTAACCTCCTCCCCCAAACCAGGCAACATGACAGCCACTATCTTCCAAGCCGCCCGCCCCCCCACCGCCTTCCTCATGACCGCCTCAGAAGGCGGCATGAAGCGCCTCCTCGGCTGCTCCTACGCCTGGGAGACCTCGACCTTTTACCGCGAGACTGTGCTGCGTATCGGGACAGAGTTCGAGGACAAGATGGCGCGCATTGGGCGCGTCAAGTTGGGGTTTCGTAGGGGGAAGATGCAGGTTGGTCAGTTGGGGGAGGTGGGGGAGGCGGTGGGGGGGTTTGCTGTGGAGGGGTAGGTTTGGGTGGGGAGGAAGGGGGTTTGGGTTGGGATGAGTTGGGAAGAATTGGTTTATCTCGAAAGGGGTGGATATTTGCAAAGGGAGTGCGCTGGTGGTTTGGTTCTTTTTGGAGGAGAAGGAGGGGATTGGCGTTTTATCATCTAGTATCACTAGGCAGGAAGAAAAACATCCCTGTAGTAAACGAAGGGAATACTGGACTGGTACTGACTAGTCGTGTTACTGATACCTGGTAGCTGAGGAGAATGAATGGTATTCTTGATTTGACAGCTTGGCTCTGCAGTCTCGAGTCTCGAGTCTCGAGTCACCCGTTTAAAACATACACAGACACTGAGAGAGAGAGAGCACGTGGACTACCTCTACCTCTACGCCTACCTGCCCACAATCCACAACCCACAACCTCCATCCCTCTCCTCCTAGCCAAAAACAACGCACATGTAAACAAAAACCCCTTTACTCGAAACACCCCCCCCCCCCCCCCCCGCAAAAAAACCAGCCTTTGAGGTCTTGGATATTGGGTATAGAAAACATGATAGTTATACAGTACCTAGCATAATAGTTATACAGTGCCAAGCACAATATTTATACAGCATTTAGCATAACACTCAAACAGTACCTAGCATGATATTTATACAGTACACAACATAACACTCGCACAACTACACCACATCCTACCACCACCACCACCACCACCAAAAAACGTCATATCACATCATATCATTCCCTGCCATACACATACACATGCCGCTGTACTCGCCTTCGCCCCTGCCCTCGTGGAAAAAGTGGCATACGCACATACACGTACCCGTACAACGCCTTTTGTTCCCAATATCCCATATCCCATACATTTCCACGCTATGCCACCCCACCCCTCCAAACCCATACCTCCAAAAAGAAGATAAAAAATTCATGAAAACAATACAAACAACACCTACAACCCCACTAAGCCACACTCAAGCTCAAGAATAGCGCCACGTCTCCGCGCCATGAACATGCGGTCCCTGTTGCAGCGGAGCCAACGCCCCAGCGGCGGCAGGGACAATGGGTGCGGCTGTGGTTTGCGTGAGAGCGGAAGCGGGAGCGGGAGCGCCATCAGCACCATCAGTGGCATCGGTGGCACTATTACTGCCAGCAACAGCAGCAGCAGCAGCAGCGTCACTCTTCCCGTCATCACTAATCGGGCTCGGCGTCGGCCTCTGCATTTCCCTAGGCGTTGTTTCGGGCGTCGGCGTGCCCACGCTAACACTGGCGTGCGACAGACTCCTCGGTAGCTCATATGTGAGTCCGGATCTGGGGCCAGACGGGGGATATTTCGGTTGCGGTGCAGACGAGGGAGAAGAGGAAGATGAGGGATCTGAAGGTGAAGCTGTTGGAACAAGACCAGGACCAGGGCCAGCAGAAGTGGCAAGTTGCTTGAGCATTTGTTCCCACTTGGGCGCCTCGGCTGGCTGTGTCGAACGCGCCATTTCGCGCTGAAAGGCATCGGGGGATTGGAACTGCGGTGCTGGTCTGGGGGCAGGCGGGCCCGAAGATGCACCGGTGCTGACACCGACACTTGCCATGGATGAAGTCGTTTGGGGAGGGCCATGGTGAGGGTGGTAATATCCCTGCTGTGTCGCCATTGTCGTTCCACCACCACCTGGCGGCTTGATACCGATACCCACACCTGGCGTATTTGGCGCTGGCACCTGTATCTGTTTCGGCATCCACTCCGACGCAATTCCGCCATCCAGACTGTAGGGAGAAATGTAAGTTTTTGTTCTTCTGAGGTAGGCATTGCGCAGATAAGGATAGTTCATAACATAGGCAAGATATTCAGTAGGGGATTGGGCAGCATAAATAATAGAGGAGGTGGAGGGTATTATGGCGTACTTTGGTGGTTTAGGAGGCCCACTTGGGTTGCTCAGCATGTTTGTCATCGACGATCGACCGTGGCCAGTGCCTTGAGTCGGGTGGCTATATGTCGAGGCTGAGCTCTGCGGTCCTGGACCGTGAGAATAGGGCGATGGTGACAGTCCTTGTGAGTATGGATATGGTGGTAGAGGCTTGTTGTGCTGGGAAGAGTGAGCATATTGGCCAACCCCATTCTGCAGATTAGGATCAATTGTAGCAGCTTGTGCTTTCCAATTTGAAGGCGAGCACGACTGTTGTGGTACATAGGGATGATACTGATATTGTTGTGGCTGTGGCTGCTGTTGCTGCGATGACTGGGGCGGACGATGAGAATGGTAGCCTTGGAACACTCCCTGCCCGTATGGTGAGAGCGGAGGCCGATGATCGTAGCTGACATTTGGCTGATGGGCAACTGGCGAATTCGGGTTCTTCCTAGTATCAGGGTTGTAAACAGGTGACTTCCAAGAGTTCATCGCGGGCTCTTTAGGTCTATACTGGTACGGCCGGCTGGGCTGCAACTGTTGCTGTACAGGCGTTCGTGGAGGCACAGTAATGGGCGCAGGTTTGAGCGGGTACGTAGCAGGATAGGCAGTCCGGTGGAACGTGGGTACAGGTGGAGGCGGGGGCTTGACAGTGTCGAGGAAGTTGCTCTTGGGATTGTTCCTCTGCTTCGCAAGGTTCTCAGTGTACTGTGGCTTCGCCTCGGTGGATGACTTTCCAAGGTAGTACCAAAGTTGGTTCTCCTTGCTCAAGTCGACCTTTGCAATCCTTTGAGCGACCTCTGGTGCAGTGTGCCACTCAGCCCACTTCTGCTCGGAGTTGGGATCGTGGAATGGATCACCCATCTCGGGTACACCATCTGTTCGGTTAGTGATGTCGAGCGACGCATCGCTCTCCTTGAGATGCTCAGGAAGTGGCTTAGCGTTCGCAGATGGCTTCGGTCGCTGAGACTCATCCGGGTGAAGCTTGAGGATATACTTCCATTCCACTTCTACGCGGTCGCTGGTCCATGTTAGCATAACCATTTCACCAATATCCTGTTGGCACATACCCGTCAGGAAGTACATCTACCAGCACAGCCTGTTCACCGGGTCTATTCTCCACGACCTGTGCGCCATAGATCTGGTACATTTCACCGCCAACATATTGGAACTGGATGACATCCTTGGGCTTCAGCGTCTTGCCATATGCCATGATAAACTTGTCCTTTTCCAGAGCATCAACGTCGACAGTCTTGTTATTCCTCTTCTTCGGCCGATGGAAACGGCATCGGAAGTCGTAACCGTCGTAAAAGTACTCTGTACCTTCCTCGTCAAACGTCGGCATGGGACCCAGGTCTACTTGCACTCCAGCTGCCACCGCACACGTAGCATGGAACGCCCTCGTACACTTTTTCTGCGAGCATTGGAAGACAGCGCCACGCTTCGAGCGACAGTAGTTGCATTTGAGCTCGAGACGATCCTTGCCGATATTCGCAACGTTGCACACCATCTCGCCTTCAGCCTTGTTGACAATGAACGTCTCAGGCGTGTAGTCGGCACAGATGCGATGAGCCTTCATGCCATTATCAGTCGGAAGTAAATCATCGTACTCGACATCATTCGGGCAAAGGATGCAGGGCATGCCTCTACCAGGAATCCTGATACGAATGCGAATACGCTTGAGCTTCTTAGATCGCGGGGCCTCCTTTGATTCTTCCTTGGTACGCTTTCGCTTGTTGTTGGCTGCCTTGCGGCCTGACTTGCTCTTCGCCTTGCCGACGACGCTCGGTGGAGGGCTCGGAAGATGGTCTGCACCATCCTCTTCGTCATCGTCATCGTCCGTCTCTTCGTAATACTCCGGGGTCGGTTCACCACGCAGCTTGCGCTCGATCTCGTTAACATCGACCCATACGCTGTCTGACTCGCAGTTGCATTTTTTGGCGATCCGTCCGTAGCTCAGCCATGATTCATTAGCAAAGTTGACTGACTCGGCACAGTTGTAACCAATGTTGTATCCAGAGTGATAGCCATAGGGATATGTAATGACGAATTCGCCCTCGTAGTGAACCAGCCGGTTGACTTTGATGCCAAAGTCCCTTTCTAAACGCTGAGGCGAGATCAGATAGGTCTTGTGTCGCAGGAATTGGGAGCAGTGTTTCGCATCATTCGGCCAGATGCTCTTCATGGCGGCTTCAAATCGGCGAGCGTCTTCCTGCGAGATGCTGTACCACTGTTTAGGTGCACCGAAATGAATGTAGTTGATACTGTAGAGATCGACATCCTCCAAATGCCAGGCGAATGTAGCTTTCCACATGCCCAGATAGAGATAGGCTGTGTTGACACCGGGGACTTTGGTACCAAGTACGTCGAGCAAATTCGGCAGCTTTGCGACGTTCCAACATGTAGTACGGTCGTCGAAGAGAGATCCAGGCATGTCAGCCCCGTACATGGGCGATCCATAATTGATGGTCTTCCAGTAATTGTCTTCCAGTTCCTTGCATCGCTCGACCGAGAACTCTTCCAGGCCGGGGAGATGGTAGTCGAAGCCCCCAAAGGCAGCCTCGTCAATAGAATCTGCGACGGCGCCACGGTTGTTTAGTCGACGCGAAGAGACGGATTTCTTCTGGTCGACTCCTGCCTTTGGCTGGCGACCGCGTGTCCTGGATGGGGTAGCCTCCTGCTTGGGCTCCTTCTTCGTTCTGGTCCTGGTGGTGGTAGTCTTCTTCTCTTCTCTGCCAGGGGACGTAGGCGTAGGAGGGACATCCATGGACGCATCCTCCTCCTCTTCCTCCTCGTCGTCGTCGGCCTGCTCTTTCTTGACCTGACGCCTCCGTGGTGGACGGCCAGGTCCACGCCTCGGAGCCGGGGAGCCTTCATCGGCGTTTGTGGGGGCGGCCTGAGCACGTGTGGAGCGGGTACGAGATGGGGCCTCTGCGGCGGCTTTCCGTCGCTCGCCTCGCTTAGCCGGAGGTTGATGATGCGCCTCGTCGGTGACGGCACGCCACTCTGGCAGGTTGTAGGATCGCTGCTTCTCGATATTGGCCTGTGTGTAGATTCCGTGCTGTCCGGCGAATTCCTGTGTAATTGGGTTCTTGACTTTGATACTTTTGACCGCTTCGCTGAGGTCGGGGAGAGAGTCGCGCCTGCACATGTCGTCAGTCGCGAATTGCATGGAGGATTTCGCATTCAAGCCGCAATTGGCTTACCATTCTTTTGGCGGAATGACCTTGACAATGCCCGACTTCATGCCATGCTTGTCGATCTTGTCAATGAAGCGCTTGAAATTGCGAAATTGATCCATGGTCTACCAGATCTTGTATTAGTATGTATAATACATACATGCAGCTGCGCAATTCTCAGAGGCATGCTGTAGCACAAAGGACAGGCATGTGATCGCAGGCATCACAACACAAGGGAGTCGTTTTGCGCAGGCGCATAACATACCGGCTTGAAGACGGGAATCTTGCCTCCCTCAAAGTAATGGTCAGGCTCGATGTCCTCGCCATCGTCGCTATCGATATCCGTCAATTCCGAAGACATCCTTTCCTCGCGCTTGTCGTTCTCCTCGCTGGTAGGTGGAGTCAGAGCCACAGCGGCAGGCACATGGTGGTGTGCGACGGATGCCTCCTCGACCGAGGGGACGATATCCGGCGGAGCGTCCATGTTGTTTTGCGGTGAATCGCTAGGCGTTTGCGTGTCTCAAGAGCCTGGAGGTGCGCAGCTCGTGGGCGGCCGGCGGGTACAAGTGTGGAGAGGGTGTTGGGGGCCGCCCATGCAGTCGCTGAATCGGCCACAACCGGCTGTGGTGGAATGTGTGAAAAAGCAACAATTTTGCGGGCAAGATGCGCACCCGAAAGAGCGAATGACGGTGTCTTTGGTGATTGTCGGGGGTTGTGGGCGGGCGTGGCGGGCTGGGAGGCGCGCAGGAGGTGGAAAGGCAGGGTGAGGAGGTTCGCACCTGCCAAGGGAGCTAACTGTTTTAGCGGATAATCCCTGCGCGCCTGGCCTGATCATCAGTTCACCTGCCGGGCAAACCTTGAACACACAACACGGGAAGAAAACATGGCAACAGGCTGGTCTCACTCAGTGGGCGATATCTGATGGGGAGTGCAGATAGTCCGAGGACCTTCATGGGGATGGAGTATAAAGGAGAAGACAGACTCTACTCTATTCGGCTGTAGACGCGGAACAGAGTTGCAGAACGCGTTGTGTGTCTCTTGTACAACCAACCCTAACTCTCCCGGCATGCACGTCATCTCCTAGGCAGGCCAACATCTGTGCACAACTGATTATCTTATCAGATGAGATCGCTGCCTATTAGTACCAGAGTGAGTACAAAGACCCTACACGTTGTGTACAAATCACATGACCCACCCCATGACCCACCTCCCCTCAAACACAGCTGCACAGCGACATCCAACAAAGGCCACCAAGAAGGAAACATCCCGTCCCCCCTTACCTCCTGCAAGCCCTCGTTGTAGGTAGAGAACCAGTCTTGTAAGCGGGTTGGGTAGGCACATGGACCCCCACAACCAAAGAAAACGGCCGCACCAACGAATCAGAATCCAATCTAGAGTGTCTACCGGTACCTACCATACATACAGTAGCACCGTCCCAGCGCGCTAAGCAGAAAGCAGAAAGCCCACGCCACCTGACTGTTGTCTACTGTACAGAGAGTACGCACAACAGTTCGTAAATCAACTTCATGGGCAGAAGAATCCCAACACGTCATCTAACAAGGACTTGTCTCTCTCTCTCTCTCTCTCTCTCTCTCTCTTCCACCGCGATTGAGTTACCCACTCAATCCACTAGATCCAATACCAGTACCAACATTGTTCTTTACCTTATCCTTGTCCTCCCTAGTTGCTCCCTTGCATGTGCTTCCTCCTCCCCCAAGACGCTAGCTATACGTTATATGGGTACTGTATAGATAAGATATCTGTACTGGTGACATGTACGTACCAGTCCGGTGTACGTACCTACACCGCCACTACCCACGCCAACCTAATCGAAACAATTTCCCCGGATCGACTGTGCATCGGTGAACGAGCCAGCCCAAGCCCGTTTTTGCGATTCTAGGTATTAGCCAGTGGGGCATGATATGTCGTGGGAAATGGGGGACCAGGGCAAGGGTCCTCCGCTCACACACATATACAGAGTCTAGGGCACCTTCCTCATCATCTGATCATGCCGAGATACTTCCACTTCCACATCCATCCATACACCCATACAACACAACACATAAAACCAACAACGCCCATAATCACAGACGTCAAAATGATTTTTTGTTTGCAGAGGCAATCCCAGACCCACATTTACTCCCCCCTTGAAGAACCATGTCCTATCCCCCTTCTTCCTCCCCATATTCATACATATCCCTTCGTGGTTCCATTCGAGAGAAAAAAACAAAGATCCGAAATGCCCCCATGATCCCATCCGATGCTATGCTATGGTCAAAGGAAAACAAAACACAAAGTTCCTTCAGCCTCTACCTGTTTCGTCATGGCTGCTATAATGCGGTTGCAAGAGACAGCTTCACAAAATCCTCAACCTTGATGCTCGTAATGCTCGCAATGCTTGCTCATGTCAAAGGCTCTGATCGGTCAACAGTCGTGAGAGGAGACGGGACGTGGGAAAGAGAATGACTCTACGCAGAAGGCTCGCCTCCACGAGGTGGTCCCCTAAAGCCACCTCGTCCCCGGAACTCTCCACCACGACCACGTCCACCGCGACCGCGTCCACCAAAATCGCCACGAGGTCCACCTCGGCCCCTACCACGGTATCCGCCCCGCTCACCACTAGGGTGGCCACCTCGTCCACGACCGCCCCGGCTGTGGTGAACCTCTGAGAAGCCATCATTCTGAGCGGCGGGGGCAGGTGCAGCAGCAGCAGCAGTTTCGGTAGCATCGTCAGCCCAGCTCTGGGTGCTGTTAACAGCGGCAGCGGCATGAGGAGTCTCGGTTTCGGTGGGGTCGCGCGGAACCATCTCAAAGGACTCGCTAAGGGGGTCGTCAGCGCCAGCTGCCTGTTTGTCCCAGTGTTCTGTTGCGGCGGCATTGGCAGCCTCAGGCTCGATGCTGGATGCTGCTGGTGCGGCAGGGGCCCCCTCTTGCGCGGGCTGGGTGGCGGTTGTGGCACTGGCGTTCATCTCGGTGAGACCTGCGTTCGTGATGGTGGGGTCCGAGACAGTGTCGGGTGCCTCAGTCTCAGGAGGGGCGGGCTGTGACTGCGCTACATCGTCTACCCAAGCCTCTTCAGCGGCAAAGGGAGCCTCTTCGAGGACTGCGTGCATGACTTGGGTGTCTGTGCATGTTAGCATTCCACCCAACACGTGCTAATCCCATGCCGTAAGCACATACAAGTAACATCCAGCTCCGTCCCGTCGACCGAAGGAATCTTGTCCTGCGAACCGTCCACCAGCTTCTCTACAGCCGCAACAGCCGCAGCATCACCGCCATAGACCTGCAATAGCGCGCCCTCAAATCCCTTACTCAGTTCCGACTCGTCTTCCTGTCGCGCCCGTCTCGCCGCAGCCGCGCGCAGAAAACGCGAAAAGGCGAGCAGCTTGTCCTTGACCACCTTCTGTTGCTCCAAAGCAGCCTCGGCCTTGATTGTGTCGCGCAGCGCCTCGAGTTCACTCGCGTGTTGCTTGGACAGCAGCTCCTTTTCCCGGCTGTGCTTGGCCTCGAGCTCCTCACCATACTTCTTGTAGTGGCCGTACTGCTCCTCGAGCTGCGCAAGCTGGGCCTGGAGACCGGGCTTCTTCTCAGCCTGGGCCTTTTGGTCGTTGTTGATCTTGCGGGAGGCAACGAGGTCATCAAGCGAGACACCGGGGTTTGCGGCGAGGATGGAGTCGACCTTTTGCGTGGCATTCTGCGGCGGTTGTGTTAGCTGGGCATGATGACACGACTGGTGGCGGTGGTGGTAGAAGTGGTAGTGATGATGATGCAATCAGGCTCGTGGTCACGGTCATGGTCGTGCTTGCTTGCATACTTACCAGCTTCTTATTAATGTTGCGAATGTTCCTATACGCCAAACAAGGTCAGTGTCGGTCGAGCGTCGGGGCTCTTGCCATGCTAGCCCTTCTCACTTGGAACCCCTCCTTGAGCCTCAAAAGCCAACAAACAAACTTGAAACTCACTTCTGCAGCTCACGAATATAGGAGTTGTCACTCTCTGTCCCGTTGGCATGGCCAGGCGCCTGTGAGCCACCCGCACCGGCCTCTGAGGTAGTCTTCTCAGGTGCAGCGGGCACTGCAGCGCCAGCCTCGCTCTTGCCTTTCTTCTTACGCGCACTCTTGGACTCGCCCGTGACCAGCGTGTGCAGCTTGGAAACGACTTCAGGTGCCATTGTAGTCGGTGATTTTGGGAGGAATTTGAATTTGGCTTGGTATGGCTGTGTTTGGGCTTTGTACGCGTCTATCGCGACTGGGTTGGCAGATTTGGACAAGAGTCAGACTGTTGGTGATGATTTTGAGTTTTGATGGTTGGGCCATGGCCAGCGCCCGCACAAGATACGTCAAGGGTGCAGGTGCGAAATTAGCGTGGGTGCTCGGACGTCTCCACGCCTCGTGGAAACTACTAGACTTTTTGGTGAGCATCATGATCTACTTGACTGTGTACTACTGTGATACCATGATGTACGGATATACTGTGTATATACCGGTATGCATGTCAACTGGAAGTCTAATTCACGCCAGCCTGCAAATACAAAGATAGGTCAGTTTTGACTGTTACAACTATCTGACATGCTAACTTGCTCTTCTCTTTCTCCGTGGTATTCATTGCTCACTTCTCTTCTTGCGACTGTTCAGGATGGGCTTCTCTCTCGTTGTCCTTTGCATAACAGCTGCTGGCAGCGCTCACGGCCAACAAAAATTGATTACCAGAGTTCTAACGGTATTTTATATTGCCCGGAGTCTTCTTGTGCAGGATCTTAATATTGCCGAAGGTTGCCTTTTGCCAAGAGAGCACTAACGTTAATAAGCCTAATTAGGCAGCTATACAGCCTATAAAGGGTAAGGATAAAGATAAGGAGACTAAGTAGGGTGAAATATTTAATTCTAAGTTGGTTCTAGGCTAGATATTTAACAAGATACTCCTATTGTTTAGCGCGCGCCTCCTCGCAGGCGGCAGCAACGTGATTACTACCCTTACCGCAGTAAAATACAATACACTAATACCATCAATACTAGTAGTTGCGGGCTTTCTAGTGGCATCCCCTGTAGTACTAATTCACTAGGTGCAGGATGCTAACTAATGCAGGTATGGTAAGGCTCGTGACCCGGACGAATAACATTTGCCGATACAATCGACAAGCGGTCCGACCGTGTACTATATTTACAGCAGGCCCGGCAGTATTACCATCGAAATTAGGCCTTTGTTAATCATCTACGTACAGTGTGTATATATACCCTCTCCAACTAGCTGGTGCGCTTCAACTCACCATTGCTATTAACTCATCCTCCAATTTCATTCATCCTTCATCAACGTCTAAAATGCGTTTCACTCTCCCTCTCGTTCTCCTTACAGCGCTTGGCAGTGTGCATGCTAATCAATGTCAACTTGTTTCGCAGGTGGGTGGCACCGCTCTTGCTGGTGGTATGTCTTCCTCCACCGTAACTGCCTGAAATATGATTCAAACTACTAAAACACACCATGTATTAGAACATTGTACCGGAGATATTGACTGCTGCGCATGCGATCTTACATCTGGACGAGCAATGATCTGCCAGCTTGTCAGGCCAGACGGTAGTTTTTCCCTTAGATCCCTGTTCCATCAAGGTTCCCTTTCACTAACAAGGCATTCAGGATCAGTTACTGCACCCCATGATAGAAGGACATATGTCTCCTCACACAAGTGCATGCCTTACGGCGACGTCAAACATGAATGCCCACCACCGAAATTCATAGACCGATAAGGTTTAGGCTAGAAGGATTTACTGTGGGTGAACGTAAAGGTATTATCAGGAAGACTTATTACGTTACCTCAGCGTAACGATATTAGATTATGCCAAGATGTTAGCGTCTTTTTCCAAAGTTAAATATATGGCTGTTGGCCGAATGTTGCTCCTATACTATGGTACAAAACTGGTTTACAGTAGCCATATTTATCTAAAGTAGACCACAAAGTAGTTTAAGTACAAGAAGTAAACCTAAATAGGGTTTACTATACTATATATTCTATAAAGGTAAACCACTTTTTAGTTTATATATTATTAGTATTATATATATTAACTTTAGCGTCTATTTAAACATAGTTTATATAATATACCTAATTATAGGTTATATAGTAGATAGATATATAGCACCTAGGGGGAAAATTTAGTATAGATAAAGGGCACGTAGTAGGTATAATTTAGTAGGGTTACTATATAGGAAGCAGTACTAGTAGATACCTAGGTAGTATAGGCGTGCAGCATACTGCCGCCTAGGTACGCTGCAACAATAACTAAGAGACTAGGTAGTATACCTAGTATATAAAATTATAATCTAAAATATCCTATAATAATAGGTTAGTAAGTTCTATAAAGGCGCCTATTATAACAACACTCCTATATTATAGTGTAGTAGTATTACTAAAGATTATACTCTACGTTATAAATATTCTAGGGCAAGTTAGTTGCTTATACTATATATATTACAGGTTTCTTTAGTAGTATATTAGTTTAAAGTTAGGTATATATATATATTATTGTATATACTATTTTATATATAGTAGTAAAGGGGTAGTATAATATAGTAAGCTTGTGTAGTGTAGGATATATAGTAATATTATATTATATTATTTATATATACTAATATTATATATATATATTATTTAACTTATATAGTTAGGACCCTCTTATATTATAATTATCTATAAACCTAGACGCTATTATTACTATTACTATTATTTAGCTCTCCTATACTACTACTATCTATATAAGAGGCATCTATAATAGATGCTCTAGTTTATATTAGAGACTACTATAATTTTAGGCCTTACACTCTAGAAGTATTTCTCTTATTACTATTACCTTTAGCCTTAGCTTTAGTTATATAGTTGCGCCTAGCCTTTACGTTCCTAACACGTGTATTCTTGCAAGTCTATATTAGTAGAGCAGAATCTAAAGTCTCTATTAGAGAGTCTATAATAGTATAAGGTTAGTGTTATTACGTGTCTAGTAGTGTATTATAGTTATCTTCTATAGGCGTGTTTTTATAAGTGTCTAGAGTAGAATTATTTAGTTAGGCTAGTATACTATATAAATAGGTTTGCTTTTATAGTCTTATATCTAGCTATACTAGTACTTATTATAATCTAACACTACTAGCTAGGGGCATACTAACTATTAGGTTAGGATGCTAACCCCTAAAAACGCTACTATTACTATCCTAGGCACCCTAGTCTTTAAAGCTAGTAATACTACTAGTGTATTTAGTTTAGGGTAGACATTATCTTTATATATATTTAATAGGATAGGGTAATACTAGCTTACTTATAGCCTATAATAAGTCTTAGTTTAAATATTAGGGAGCGTTACTATAGAATCCTAACTAGGCTACTACGTAGTTATAGTATATACCTAAACTACTATAAATAAAGTTAGATATTAGCTACTAGTATCTATATAGACCTCTATATATAATAGACCTCCCTAGGCTAGGGCCTTATAGGATAGTAAATATTTAAGTAATTAGGGTAGTAATACTATTACCTAGTATAGCATAATTATATATAATAGCTCCTTTATAATAGTAAGATTAGTGTATTTAAAGAGGTAGACAATATACTTGTGTTTTAGTTTAGAGTATTAGTTTTTATTCCTGTATATCTAGGTCTACTATATAAGCTATTTTAATACCTATACTTTATTAAAATATCTAAAAAATAGATACTTAGTAAGGATAGTGTCCTATATATTAGTCTACTTAGAGTTAGAAATATAGCTAAATAGTTAGTCTTAGATTATATTAAAGTATATATCTATAGCCTTGCAGATACACTTATTAAGGTTATTAATACCTTTCTTACTAACTATAAATATATAAATCTATAAGGCAAACACTTTAGGCGTATATATTACTACCTACACTATAATTAGATTATTGCTTACTAATTTTAGCTATAGGTAGATACTATGCAGTTCTAGTATTTTATATAAATAGGATCTTAAATCCTAAATTAACTATAGGATAGTGTTAGGAATAAAGGTAGTGTTTATAGTAGATAAGGTTATAAGTAAAGCTAATATATTATAAATATATTATTATAGATAGAAAGGGTATATTATTATATATAACTTATGCACTTGTTATATTATAACGCGCACTAGTGTTATTGCTATTACTTATAATATATTATCTTTAGCTGCATCTTTATACTAATATGCTTCTATAATATAGTTATTAAATAATAAGTTATTATACTATAGTTATGCTATATTAGTATAATAGAAGTGTAGAGAGGGTGTGCTAATATGTTGTATTACGTACGTATGTAAGGGGTTAAGAATTAATTTAGAGTATACTAGATTATTATTATATAGATTTATATATATTACTATAATTATAGTATTATTACTTATTATAACTAACGCTAACAAGTTATATTAGCTTACGTAGATTTATGCTATATCCTTTTATTTACCTACTCCTCTATATACTAGAGTATAATAGTTATATTAATAGAGTAAGATATAAATATCTAGGAATACACTCTTACTAACCTATATTAGCTATATATAGTTTATATTTACTAAAATATAGTTATTATATAACCTAGATTAGTATATAAGTTATACTAGACTAGGAATTAACGTAGATTAATATAGTAACTATAACACTATTTAAGAGGATAATATTGCGAGTTACTAAATTTAGGGGTAATAACCTATCTACTATACTATAGTATTCTAAAAGTAGGGTAATCTATCCTTTAGATACCCTATTAACTATACGTTACACGTTAATATATTTTCCTAGGCTAGGTATAGAACTAATATGTATTAGCTTAGGATAGAAAATAGGGCTATTGTGTACGTTAGTTAACTACTATAAGATATAGTAGTCCCTACTATAGAAAGCCTAGTTATAGAAGAAGAGGCTCTTTATCTTTAATAGTACACTATTAAGGTTAAGATTATCTTTATAGAAGCTTTTATTTAATTTAGTATTAATAAACTTGCAATAGATATATTATATATAAGCGTAACGTAATAGGACGTGTTAAATAAGTATATTATATAATTAAAGAATTACTCCTTCTTATATAGATAAATCTAGTAGTAACTAGATAACCTATATAAGGAGAAATAGATTACCCTCCTATATAGTATCCTGTAGAGAACTGCGCATCTATTATAATATAGCAAGTTTGTGTCTTAGATAGTATATCTTATAGTATAAAGCCCTTTAATAGTAGATAGTAATAAGCTAACTATACTATTAATAGGCTATCTTACCTAGACTACACTAGTTAGACTAGCTTTCTTTTATATAGAATAGTAGTAATATAGTCTTATAGTAGCCTAGAAACCTTTCTTAGAATATCCTTAGTCTATAAGGCTAACTAAGGTATAAGGAGAAGAAACTAATACTAAGTAAGGATTTAAGTAGAGCAGATTATCTAGGAGTAGCCTAAGCTAGTCCTACCTCTATTAGAAAGAGGTTAAAAGAGTCTCTATAACGCTTAAAAAGGCTACTATAAATAGTATCTAACGCCCCTAATTTGCTAGCTTATACTTATTTATAGTAAGAAACCCCTTTAATTATATCTCTATTATAAAGTCTTAAGAGATAGCTAGGTAAAGAGAACCTCTACTACTAGCAAGTAAATATTACTAAATACTCTAAAGGAAAGAAAGACTGCAAGTAATTAAGAATATAAGGTTATCCCCTAATACTATATAGAGATTAAGTTTAGGTAGTCTAGGCCCTACTACGCCTATAATAGTCTAATCCACACTAAGTAATACTAAAGATAGGTAGACAACCTATAGTTAGCAGACCTAAATAATTAGTCCTATAGTCTAGGACTACTACTAAAGAGAGGCTGCTCTACTTTAACTCTAACTAACTCCACCTACTAGTTATAAGTGTAACTAGTGCACTAGTATAATTAACTATTCTTTAATATACCTGCCTATATACTTATAATTATAAACTACTACGCCCTTAATAAACTAAAAGACTATATACTACTGCTACTAACACTACCTATTAGCCTTATTAAGGACAGGTATAACTCCTTAGCTCCTATAGGGGCACAACACTAGCGCTAGTTATACTATTATTTAGAAGCCTAAAGGTTATAATCCTTAGCCTTACTATAGTAGTAACTACTAACTACTAGTCCTAATTCTAGCTAAGATTACTAATTTAAAATCTATTAAATAACTAGTTAAGTAAAGTGTTAAGTTTAGCTTAGGTCTAACTATCCTCTATAGAGACTATAGATCCTTAGGAAGTATAGGTGTATACTAACCTACTACTTATCTATTATATAAACTATAGGCTCTAGGAGCTTATTAGATAGTGCTAAGTGTAACTACTACTAACTATAATAACTCTTATTACAGCGTTTATTAACTTAGAGGTGCTACCTATCTTAATAATATTAATAGAATAATAATATAGAGAAGGTACTACCTTATTACCTTAAGTGTAAGCACTTAATAAGGACGTCTCCCTAAGCAACGTAAAGATAGAGAGACGCGTGTATTGCTATAACTACTTATTAGGTAGACCTAAGCTAGTTTTAATAACTAGTACTACGCCTAGTATAGTGTCCTTACACTACTATAACCTAGCTAGTGTCTAGTATATCTTAATCCCTTTAATACTAACTAACTTAATAAAATAATATTAAAGGAATGCTATAGGGATAAGAATAGCTAGTATAAAACTATAGATACGTTATTAGATAGGTAACTATCTA